TGTCTGATGGTTAGAAGTGGGACCTCCTGAGAATGATACCGTTGCGAGGTACACGTGAAAACACTTGTCTGATGGTTAGAAGTGGGACCTCCTGAGAATGATACCGTTGCGAATGATACCGTTGCGAGGTACACGTGAAAACACTTGTCTGATGGTTAGATGTGGGACCTCCTGAGAATGATACCGTTGCGAGGTACACGTGAAAACACTTGTCTGATGGTTAGAAGTGGGACCTCCTGAGAATGATACCGTTGCGAGGTACACGTGAAAACACTTGTCTGATGGTTAGATGTGGGACCTCCTGAGAATGATACCGTTACGAGGTACACGTGAAAACACTTGTCTGATGGTTAGAAGTGGGACCTCCTGAGAATGATACCGTTGCGAGGTACACGTGAAAACACTTGTCTGATGGTTAGAAGTGGGACCTCCTGAGAATGATACCGTTGCGAGGTACACGTGAAAACACTTGTCTGATGGTTAGAAGTGGGACCTCCTGAGAATGATACCGTTGCGAGGTACACGTGAAAACACTTGTCTGATGGTTAGAAGTGGGACCTCCTGATAATGATACCGTTGCGAGGTACACGTGAAAACACTTGTCTGATGGTTAGATGTGGGACCTCCTGAGAATGATACCGTTGCGAGGTACACGTGAAAACACTTGTCTGATGGTTAGATGTGGGACATCCTGAGAGTGATACCGCTGCGAGGTACACATGAAAACACTTGTCTGATGGTTAGAAGTGGGACCTCCTGAGAATGATACCGTTGCGAGGTACACGTGAAAACACTTGTCTGATGGTTACATGTGGGACCTCCTGAGAATGATACCGTTACGAGGTACACGTGAAAACACTTGTCTGATGGTTAGAAGTGGGACCTCCTGAGAATGATACCGTTGCGAGGTACACGTGAAAACACTTGTCTGATGGTTAGAAGTGGGACCTCCTGAGAATGATACCGTTTCGAGGTACACGTGAAAACACTTGTCTGATGGTTAGAAGTGGGACCTCCTGAGAATGATACCGTTGCGAGGTACACGTGAAAACACTTGTCTGATGGTTAGATGTGGGACCTCCTGAGAATGATACCGTTGCGAGGTACACGTGAAAACACTTGTCTGATGGTTAGAAGTGGGACCTCCTGATAATGATACCGTTGCGAGGTACACGTGAAAACACTTGTCTGATGGTTAGAAGTGGGACCTCCTGAGAATGATACCGTTGCGAGGTACACGTGAAAACACTTGTCTGATGGTTAGAAGTGGGACCTCCTGATAATGATACCGTTGCGAGGTACACGTGAAAACACTTGTCTGATGGTTAGATGTGGGACCTCCTGAGAATGATACCGTTACGAGGTACACGTGAAAACACTTGTCTGATGGTTAGAAGTGGGACCTCCTGATAATGATACCGTTGCGAGGTACACGTGAAAACACTTGTCTGATGGTTAGATGTGGGACCTCCTGATAATGATACCGTTGCGAGGTACACGTGAAAACACTTGTCTGATGGTTAGATGTGGGACCTCCTGAGAATGATACCGTTGCGAGGTACACGTGAAAACACTTGTCTGATGGTTAGATGTGGGACCTTCTGAGAATGATACCGCTGTCTAGTACGGGTTAAATAACTGATGTGTAGGAATGACACTGCAGTGGTTTCTCCTTCCTTTTCTCCTTCTGATTCCCAGTAGGTTTTAGCGCCAGCACATGTTTTAGCCGTGCGATACTAGCGACCTTTTCAGATGCTGCTGATTCTAACGCTATAATAATTGTGCTCATTACAGCCCTAACCTTTGTGTGACCTGTGTGTACTAATGTATGGTACAAGTGAAGGTCAGTTGTGTTTCCGTAATGCATCCACAATAAATGATTCAATAATGATGACATTTCCAGTATTGAAAATGACAGACGGCACATGGGTTATTTCAGTCAGTCATGTCCGTTACTACCGAACTATGTTTTATCTATTTGCCTTAACAAAGAAGTGAACCGTCTTTACTTTACAGTTGGAAGTATTTGGATTTCGTTAATTCTCGGATTAAGAATGTTTAGATATAATAACATAAAACTTGAAGCACATAATAAAGAGAATATTTCAGGTGTCTAGTGAAATATGATGCATCTGTCATCTCGTGACGTCGAGAACGGCATATTTTCACCCTGACTACGCCACTCGTGAACATAACACGTTTTTCTTGTCACTCTCTCACAGATCATATCTTCACTAAACACATGAAATATCCTGTATATGATCCACGCGGCGTAAATCTGGTAGCTAACGTACGTGCTGAAAATACGTAATTAGCATCCATTATACGAGAAGCGGTTGCTAGGCAACTATGCTAGATTCAGCTATGACAGTTGCGAACAGGTAGGTGACTAACCTTGCCACACTAATGATGTCGTGGCTCTGCGCAGTGTTAAAAGGACAGTCACTGCTGGCAGATGTCGCTCGTCTAACAAAGATGCTACACGTTGTTTAAGCCGTCGGTCGTTACAGTCGGAGAACACCACGTTACAGGTAACACATCTTTACTTGGTTCAAAACGTTCCTTCACCTGGCTGTCGTTATGTTTCACAGCGGTCTTTGGTCATGAAAGACTCGGTTTATGATGACTTACGTTTTACCTTTTTCAAATTGCTCACCATTTTATACAGTTTGGTTATCCAGTGTCTAGTGAAAACTTCTTCATTTATGCCAGTGCCTGTTGTGTTGGCCTTGCTCCAAGGCTGTACTGAATGCTGAGCCCATGGAGGTATAGTAATTCTGTCCTTCAAGAGGCAAGTCTAGATTAGCGGACAGTCTGTTATTTATAAAAAATATTGAAATTATCATTCAAACTATTAATTTTACCATAGAGACTTGTGCAAGTTTACTATTGTTTCTACGTCTGTGCTATAGAAATATTATACGTCATTACAAATATATAGGAACACCTTTAATTAGTATTCGCATGAGTCAGAGAGACAAGGTATCTACTAATTGCGGGGAAACTGTTAGATATATGTGGGTGGTGTTTTGTGCATGGTGCACGTTCTACGAGTCTCCATCCACTGGCTGTCTGTAGCTAACCTGTAGCGGATTATGAAACTGGTCAATAGTTCACGTTCGATCCAGTGTTGACCGTTCAGTACCTGCTCATCAGCGACTCGCAGGGGAATACAATACACTGATCTCACGGTATTCAGTACATGCGTACATCAATACATATTATTAATACAATCATCAGCAGTACAAACTCAAACATTCTTCGCATTAAAATCGAGTGAGAGTTTTTTAGTACTCAGGTCAACGCAGTTATTCTGGTAATTAACTGTGTTTTGTTTACAGAAGTCTGGGTTGTTTAAAGCACAATTTTGTCCACGGTCTTGGCGACAGAGAATGCATGTCATTGAGTGTGAGTGTGTCCGCCACACAAACCTTAACTAGATACAGGTTTACATGCTTGAAGGGTCCACTGAAAAAAGAGCATTACTGAGATAAATACATCTCGACCCCTGGTCTATATACACTGAAATAAATCTTGTATTCGACATCTCGACCAGCGGTCAATATACACTGAGATAAATCTTGCATTCGACATCTCGACCAGCGGTCAATATACATTGAGATAAATCTTGTATTCGACATCTCGACCAGCGGTCAATATACATTGAGATAAATCTTGTATTCGACATCTCGACCAGCGGTCAATATACACTGAGATAAATCTTGCATTCGACATCTCGACCAGCGGTCAATATACATTGAGATAAATCTTGTATTCGACATCTCGACCAGCGGTCAATATACATTGAGATAAATCTTGTATTCGACATCTCGACCAGCGGTCAATATACATTGAGATAAATCTTGTATTCGACATCTCGACCAGCGGTCAATATACATTGAAATGAAGCTTGTATTCGACATGTCGACCAGCGGTCAATATACATTGAAATAAATCTTGTATTCGACATCTCGACCAGCGGTCAATATACATTGAGATAAATCTTGTATTCGACATCTCGACCAGCGGTCAATATACATTGAAATGAAGCTTGTATTCGACATGTCGACCAGCGGTCAATATACATTGAAATGAAGCTTGTATTCGACATCTCGACCAGCGGTCAATATACATTGAAATGAAGCTTGTATTCGACATCTCGACCAGCGGTCAATATACATTGAAATGAAGCTTGTATTCGACATGTCGACCAGCTTACCCAATGGGGCCATTCTCACTTACTCACTCTCACTAGATCTTCCACAGTACTATAACATGATCTTATCTTGTACTGCTGCAATTGTCAACTACATGTTATTTTACATCATTACATTACACATTAGTAGTACCCAGTGAGAGGAGATACACAATCTGTGTACTCAGTCACAGACAGATCACCAGCATGAAGTCTGGTCTTGAAGGTGAGAAAAAGGTAAATTACTAGTATGTCATGCGAAAATTAATCAATTTATCTTCTAGTGTATCTTGCGAAACAGTTAACAAACGGATTTCATCCCTTTCTACGTAAGTCCCAAAACATTTCAAGTAAAGTTAAGTCTACAAGGTTTTTAATCGTAGTATTTTTGTATTTTTAATGTATGGCTAACCCTCAGCATAAACGCCCGCGGCTGAAGGGATGGTGTACATCCAGCTAGGTTCCACGCTGGTAGCAAAAGTCCCATGGACCCTAGTGTGGGGATCTACCTTCAGTTGTTGGCGATCAATAGCCCATTTTTACATTGTTTTGTCAAAAAATAATTTTCTACTTTTAAAGATATACGCCAGCTAGTTTTAACTCATTTTGTGATAATCTAGTGGTTTTACTGTCCTTCGTTGACAGGGTTTTATATATTATATGTATGTATTATGAATTTAGAACTAGTCACGATGTGGTTGAAATATTGCCGATGTGACTTTAAATGTTAACTCACTCACTCACTCATCCCTTTTCTATATACAAATGCGTCTAACAAAACCATGTACCGTGTTGTATGTTCCAGAGACGATGTCAGCATGAGGAAGCCGTGGAGTAGATGCCGACGGGGTGTGGCGAGGGCGTGGCGCCATCTGAACAGGAGATTCAGCATCAACGTGATGCTGTGTGTGTGCTGCACCGCATCCCTCGTCATCATGCTGGTCAACATACACGGTAACAATACCGCGCCATATGGCATCATGTATGGGATACAGAGGATGGTGACCTCACGATGTAGCACGAACACATCTTCACTGAATACATACAGTAGTTGGCCTTAAGTGAGTCATCATTAATGCAATTCCCATGTTTCCCATGCAATTCCCAACTTTTAATACTTTCCATTCAATTTTCCGATTATTTTAAGAAAACTGCAGCTATTTAAACTAAATGTATCAGACATACCAATCAGGTTTAACATGGCTGTCTATGAGATAGATTAAAAGTTGTCCTTATATGGTGCTTAATCAGGTGTCATTCGATAACTAATCAAAGGAAACATGAAAGAAAATTATGTACACGTAGCTGAAGGTGATTTCCAAGATGTTTGCAAAATGTCAAAATACAATGACTTCTACTCAATTTGTGAACATTATGCTTGTAACAGTTAATAAACATGTAGTCTATGGAAATTTCACTAATGATGACTCACTTATGGCCAACTACTGTATACATAACACAAAGAATAGGGCGTCAAAGTATCAATACAGTGTGTGAAATAACCACTGGCCCGCCAGCCTGTGGCCAGTAAAAATCCAGTCGGGCCAGTAAATCTCCACAGTCACTGGCCCGAATTGTTAGTGAATTTTCATGGGGTCATTTTGTAAATATATCTTTCTCTCCGACTTGTTAAGTTATAATACATTTTTAAATCATGCAGAATTATGGCCTGATTAAGATGTTCATGATATTAGCAACTTAATGATGAAATCCGTGTCATGCCGACAATATCTTATTCTCACCTATTTTTGTAATCTTTTGTGTCTACACTCAAATTTGGGGCTAGTGAATTATTGTGTAGGCTAGTAACTTTCAGGCAGAGCTATCCCGACTGGCTAGCAAATTATTTCGTATCAATACCTTTGTCACTTATTTGGATTCCGCGTGGTGTACCACTCTTTGCACTATTCATGGTAACTCCTACACTTACGAACTGCATTGTGGGATCTTCCGGCCATGGTGAACATGATCAAGCCACTTTATAGACTCGAGCCTCATGGGCAGCTCTGTAGTATTAGGTTCCCTGTGGTTAGTTGGTAGGTCAAACTAGCGTCAGCTCGCATGAAGGACAAGCGAGTACACGCAGGTATAATACGTTACTACACATCTTTTGGTTTACATGGTCTGTGAAGCTGATGCAGACAGCAGATGTTCCACAGGGTGTAGTGTGTGCACGTGTAGCCTTACATCCCTGTTCTTTGTGATCTGGTTACCATGGCAACATGCGCATTGCGTGTCAAATGCACTCCTAGTCCCATCTAGCTTTAATCCAGCACTTCAGGAGCAATCTGTGACCACATATACCTTTCGCCATACGTCAGATAACACAGTCAGATGTGTCTCTATCTGCATTATGTCGATCTGTCGTAAATTAATGTGAGTGACATCAAATAAATATGGGCTTCTCTTTACAGGGTCCCAGAATATACCAGTTAGTCATGAGCTCAAAGGTCGCTTTAGTGACGTCATGGCAATGTTCCGGCATCATACAGTAAGTACCAAATCCACTGACGTCATGTAGTAAAACACGATTTGGGTGAATCTTCAATGAATATTCATGAAACATATATCTCATGACGGAAATGGGGCGGTGGGGTAGCCTAGTGGTTAAGGCGTTCGCTCGTCACGCCGAAAACCCGGGTTCGATTCCCCACATGGGCACAATGTGTTAAGTCCATTTCTGGTGTCCCCCGCCGTGATATTGCTGGAATATTGCTAAAAGCGGCGTAAAACTAAACTCACTCACTCACTCATGACGGAATGGCTACATATTGTTTGTCCCCAGTTGCATGGACATATCGTTAATAGGCATACCGAAAGATCTAGACCAAGAATACATGATAGACAGACTGACGCATTCCGCGTGACCATCTTCTATTCCGGGTATGTGAGGGGTTGGCTGCAGGGTGGACATGGTGGGAATGGGGTATGCACGCCCGGAATTTACTGGAAAATAGTTTTAATGGTGGAACATATTAAGATTGCCTCGACTGTTCTTTTCAGACAGAAACGATATTACATAGCGCCTTCTCTTGGACAATAGCCCAAAACGTGCAATACAAATATTGTTGTATCATTTACGACTCACCTTTGAATTTGTTTAGCCCTGTGTGTAACATTTGCTCCGTCAATTACCAATATTGTCCCGATGAGGACACGCCGGCTTGTTTGTAAACCAGGCGCGGCAACATCCAGGTGTTGATTACCAAACAAACAACAAACCTTTGTCCAGGTCAGCTGACCCACAAGATAGGGCCTATATTTATTCCAGGCCAACCTGTCTCGTCGCCCAACTATAAAGATGTCTGACCCCTGACGTGAACCTGAAGGTACACAGTCAGGTTAATGTTAATACCCAACATGCATTGTGGCCAACTTGTCAGATCGCCGGCTGACAGGTACCCGTAAGGTGATACATGTATAGATATGTGATTATTCATTGTCATCTGTCTTACGCATCCTTGAGGGGAAAATGATATAGTTGAATTCGCTAAACCGTTTAGAACATCCGAACAGCACAAATAGATAGATTAAATGGAAACTTATATGGACATATATGTTCTTGTTACTTACTAGTAATGCTGACGTAAATATTCCGATTGTATTTTATATTTTTAAAAAATGCCTTTTGGGGGCAAGAATATTATTTCGTAAAGCAGTTTGGTGTACGTCCAGTGGACGGCATACATATTGTTTGTAAGAACTAAAGATGCTGTTGGACGGGACTACGGTCAGGCTCGGTGACGGCGCTGATTTCTTACCATAGCACCCCGGATCCTTGTGATCGTTGTGATCATTGTGATCGTTGTTCACAATATCAGTCACTAGGCTGCCTGGCGCAGACTCCATGACATATGTTTATTGATTTACCGACATATTGTTGAAATAGTGCTGCCATAAACAAAACGAAAGAAAACGAAGGGATTTGTTTCGAATGAAAACAGTTTGCATACCTTCAGCTAGACAAGCAGAGTTAGCTCCCTTCACGAACCCCCTACTAATCTTGCTGGACAAATATGACTCTCACAATGAGGGTTTAAGCTCACACAATGTACGAAAACTGCATGTCTTTTGTTAAAAGGCTAGGAGGACAGAACGATAAATACGGTCCTTCATTCATCTATTGCATTTTATGTTCTGGTAACACTGTCGTGGTATACTTGATATATATGTGCGTTTTATAGTAGTAACCTGTAGTCGGCGAAGTCGTGAATCTATGTTACTTCTTGCAGAAACCTTGGTACCAAAATTGTCACTATCATAGAACTACGAAGGTACCTCATTACTTAAATTGGCAGGACGCCTTGTCGTATTTTTAACAGCTACATTTCACAGTATATTACATACATAGTTGCACATAGAGTTCATGTAAATTCTAAGTATTTATTTTGGCAGGAAACTGTCTTCGGAGGTGAATCATGTTCCATGTTCTACACTGTTCATTCACCAAAGCCTTATCTCCCTACATATAGCACTTAAGATTGAATACGAACTGGATCTATCTCTTATTGTGAAATATGCGGACGACGCTGCAGATATTGTTTTATTGAATTGTTCTCACGCCTCGGGGTAGCCAAGTGGTTAAAGCGTTGGCTCGTCACGCCGAAGACCCGAGTTCGATTACCCACATGAGTACAACGTGTGAAGCCCATTTCTAGTGTCCCCGCCGTGATATTGCTGGAATATTGCTAAATGTGGTGTAAAACCATAATCACTCACCCACTCTTTCATGTCATCTATGTATGTTAGAGTTATGTAGAAGGTGTTGATTAACTGATGATTATGTTATGTGATTTTTTTTCTTTGCAGCACAGCACCCAAGGATTCCAGATCAAAGAAGTTAAGAAGGAGAACCTGAGTTACTACGACCTGTTTCCGGTAGGCCGACGCTTTATGGTCAGGGAGCAGCAAGTGCAGGATGGGTGTCGTGGACGGGAGACGGAACTCAGAGGGTTGTCCTCGGAGAAGTGGGCATTCGAGCGGATAGAGGTGGACACTGACCGGAGAACCTTGTACTGTCCACTGCTCAAGGTCGGCTCAACATTCTGGAGGAGAATATTCTATGCAATGAGACAAAATGCAACAATAAACACTCCCTATGACATCAGCATCAACAAAGCGCTGATGTCGAAACGAGAGACGCTGCAGAAACTGCTACCTTTGAATAGCTCATCAACACAACAGTACTTGAAAGAATCGGTCAATATAATGTTTGTTCGTGAGCCATTCTCGAGGTTAATCTCAGGATACGTGGACAAGTTGTTCGCGCCAAATCCCTACTTTTGGACTGTCATCGGCAAATTCATCATATCAAATTACAGGAAAGATCCGAGTCCACAAAGTCTTCGCTGTGGCCATGACGTCACGTTCCCTGAGTTTGTGCAATATGTGGTGGACACGGAAGCAGGGGAATGACCCCCATCGGGACGCACACTTCACCCCCACATATGACCAGTGCAAACCCTGTCAGGTGCCCTACATCATCGGCAAGATGGAAACATTCAAGCATGACACAGCATTCATACTGAACGCTCTTGGGTACAACGTCAGTTCAAATTCGCTGAAATTTTGGTCATCGAAAGCCGAAGAGGACGCGGTCATTGATTCAACGCTCAGTCCTTTTGGGTGGAAAAAGAAAATTCAAAAGTGTATGTCATTTTACGAAGCAGCTAAACGTATCTGGCACAAAATGCAGATTCGGGGAATTGTGAGGAAGGATTATGCAATGCCTTACACTGAAAGGAGTCTCAAGACGACATCCTCCCGGCAATTTATCAAAGCTCTGTTAAACGGGCGGGGTTCAGATGATGGCCATAGTTTTCTTAAGCATCAAAAACAGGAAGTCTTACAGAGAGCATTTCAGCTTGTTCCACAGGCTGACCTTGAGAAAATCAGAAAATTATTCAAGCCTGATTTTGAACTATTTGGATATGACATGTACCCAAAGCACATCTTTCCAGATAATCCGCCACACTCGGGAAGTAATTGGTTGTTTAATTTATCAAGTGTATGATGAGTGTCTGTGTGTCTATCCACACTGTGTGTGGGATGTATCACTGTACTGATGTAAGATGTGTATTGATGTAAGATGTGTACTGATGTAAGATGTGTATTGATGTAAGATGTGTGTTGTTCATGAGAAATGATTCAGCCTGAAAGTGATGTTCTGAAAAAAAGTTGGTATGTCTGTAAAAGATGCGAAGCATTCATGAAATAAAATACCAATATTTCGTCGGTTGCTATTTTTTGAACATACAGTTTGCTCTCTACAAGTATGTGTTAATAAATTAAGTTTGAGGTCTTTTTGAACAACACCTCACTTACACACGGCCTGTCAGGTTGTGGTAATGTAAGTCTCAAGTGAAATTCTCTCACTTGATGCTCGTCAAGCTGTAACCTTCATCAGGTAGAACCTGGGAATATATTAATAGGCCTTATGCACGACTCACAAACGCAACTCTACACAATCAATATTTGCACACACAAGACGTCTACGCCCTCCGTGCAGGAACACCAAAGGAAAGTATTTCTTCACCTGCTTCTAAACTGTATTTATCTGTCTATAAAAGCAATCGACACTTATCTTACCCAGGGTCTATATCCATTCATCTGCTCCGTTGATTTGTGAAACGTTCCCTGGATCGCTGTAGAGAGGTTTATGCAATTTTAAGCTGTACCTGCAATCACTCGTTACTGGTCCAAGATACGTTCTCAAAACCTCAACATGACGTCATAACATCTTTAATTGTAGAATAATATATACAGCATGTCTGTAAACGTTTGAGTCTGGAACAGGGGGGCCACTGTCTGCAAGCTGAGGTCGCTATATCGTTTTTGTATTCCATTTTAATATGTCTTGTCTTATGTGCCTGTTTGTGATTAATTCATAACACCTAAAACACTGATACAACTCTCAGTAAAAAGATGTATATTTTCACAAGGTCATGATTTATATATAGCCATCACTGGGTCATGGGTCAAAAGTAGTTCCTATGCAAAGTAGACAAATCTAAATGAGGTCAGGGCTGCTGTCTTGTCCTTTGCTTTCAAATGCTGAAGATCTGCAACACTACCTCCAACAGCAGGCAAATGAGACAAGACATATTAAAATAGATTATATTTCCAGAACGTTTTACAGTAGGTAAATTCTCTGTGGGCGTGGGTGGAATCCTGTCTGTATGGTGGCTATTTGAATTTGTTAAATTTGCCGAATTGCTTTATCCTTTGACATCAAGCTGTTCCGTGTCGAGCATGGACTTGCACATCCCACAACCTGTTGCTGCCAAGACTCATCGTGGTACTGCCAGTCTGTTGGTCGTATCAGCACATGTGAAGTATCTACTCTTAAAAACAGCAATCTTCCTCTGATATTCTAATATGGACCCAACTACCGTGACAAGTCTCCTGTAGCGAGAACATTCGATTACAACTTTATGGATGCTGTTTAAGCATATGCTAAATTGGACCAATAGAGAAGAGTAACCTGCTGACCTCCCACTCTCTCGGAGTGGTCACGTCAGGGTGGAATGATAGCACTGATGGAACGCAGACACTGATGAAGAGGCAAGAGAACTGGTACATACCCATTCTGTCCCCGCTAGCTGCCATGTAAAGCTATTGTTCCCACGAATAAGATCTCAGATGCCATAAATAATATTGCATTAGTGTAAAATAAAAGCCAGGAACGACTCCGCCCCAAACCATGCATCAGTAGTTTCAGTACTATCAAATGCGCGTCCCCATGCGATTCAACCGGATTCCAAACTCTCCACAACAATTTGCACAATATGTGATACATTGCCGGATCAGTCATCTGCACCACCCAATCCCACTCTCCCATATACAATGAACAATAAGACTAAATACAGAAAACGTATTTAAAACAAGGAAAATAGAAACCATGTCAATTTTCAAAATTGCAAAGGATTTGCTGGAATTTTAACCATCTGAGAAAGAAGCCAAATTAAAGAATGTTAAAGCATGTCACGTTTCAACCTTAGACATGACTATCCCTTATCACAAACTTGATCCATGGGGTATTTGTATTATAAGCATGAAACTATGTTACTTATTTAAATATTTGATATGAAGTCTAGATCATTAATACTGGTAATTAAGACATAATGGGAGACAAATTATAACATGATTAATACTATCTTCAAGGGAAACATTCAGTAACTAGGGAAGGAAAGGTCGGAGACATGATGGTAGATTGGTGCATTTAGTACAGTCGGGAGCCCCAGCAAGGAGAGGTGATTGTAGATCTCTGCCAAGTAGGTTTAGGTTAAAGAAGCCACCTGTGTTATCGGGGTACGGGCAGCAGGGTCTGGCACCTTGGTGATAGTAAGACAGAAATGGTGGGAAGGGGGAGAGTGAGTGAGTGAGTCTTGTTTTACGCCGCACTCCGGAATATTCCAGCTATATGGCGGCGGTCTGTAAATAATCGAGTCTGGACCTAATAATCTAGTGATCAACAGCATGAGAATTGATCTGAGCAATTGGGAACCGAGGACATGTGTCAACCAAGTCAGCCAGCCTGACCACCAGATCCCGATAGTCGCCTCTTACGACAAGCATGGGTTACTGAAGATCAATTCTATCCCGGACCTTCACGGGTTTAGAAGAGGGAGAGGCAGCAGTTCTTGGAATTATGCAAAGTTATATATGGTCATAGGGAAAATAATACTGGTATTCAAGGAATTCACCTCACAGTATGTCGAATAAGGTATTAGGGGTAAAGAAATGGAGGGGGGGGGGGGGGTAGTCTGCAGCGAGGGGAAAAGGTTACCGTCCAATAGAAAAAACGAGAATCTTGATGCCTGTGACGTAGGATCCCGGGTCTTAAGGAAGTACGAGGGCATACCGTAGTTCCGGTACAGGAACGCCATCCCAGGTGTGGGATACTGACAGGTAAAACAACCATTACCGCCAGGAAAGGGCGTTGTAAGAGCACCTTGGACATATGTTACTTAACAGGGTGAACATAGATATATTTACATCTGGATAGGTTCGGAACTTTTTGTCAATAATGAAAGCAAATTTCACCTGAAAACAATGAGCGAAATGCTGAAATTCTGCATTGATAACATCCATGTGACATTTATGGAATAAGACAATGAAACAAGAAGCAAACATTATAGCTTCCCTTCCCATTGATCTATATATTCATGATCATGAATCTCATTAGAAACACACCACACTAAACTGCACCGACGATGCTCAGGTATGATGGGTACATTTCAGTCTGACGGGGACATTTCGTATTACATGTATATGGCTGGTGCGTATAATACTATTCACGGCTCAAATGTACAAGACAATGTAATGAAGAGGTTGGAATTATTGCCATTTATTTCAGGTGTTTGGAATAGACTACACTGGATCTTAATGGCGCAACATTTCATTTAATTCAGTCATACCCAAATACCTTGTCAAATAGGGCGGTGGGATAGGCTAGTGGTTATGCGTTCGCTTGTCACGCCGAAGACCCGGTTCGATTCCCCACATGGGTACAATGTGTGAAGCCCATTTCTGGTGTCCCCCGCCGTGATGTTGTTGGAATATTGCTAAAACCGGCGTAAGACTAAACTCACTCACTCACTCACTTTGTGAAATAAGGGGAATCAGTTACCGGCCCTGTCTAACGTTCCACGCGTCCGTAGTTTGATGGAGTATTTGATAACATAGTCCCTGTACTACACAATAATTGCTTCATCAGTTACAGGGAGAGATTACATCAGACCACTGCGCATTTTCAAAACATTCCCAAATCCTATAAAAGACTACATCACATTTTAGAATTATACCTGTATGACATAAGGCTGGATCACTAGGTATCTGTATGACATAAGGTTGGATCACTAGGTATCTGTTTGAAATAAGGTTGGATCACTAGGTATCTGTATGACATAAGGCTGGATCACTCAATATCTGTATGACATAAGGCTGGATCACTTGGTATCTGTATGACATAAGGCTGGATCACGAGGTATCTGTATGACATAAGGCTGGATCACTAGGTATCTGTATGACATAAGGCTGGAGTACGAGGTATCTGTATAACATAAGGCTGGATCACTAGGTATGTGTATGACATAAGGCTTGATCACCTGGTATCTGTTTTACCTAAGGATAGATCGCTATGTATCTGTATGACATAAGGCTGGATCACTAGGTATCGGTATGACATAATGATAGATCGCCAGGTATCTGTATGACATAAGGCTGGATCACTAGGAAACTGTATGACATAAGGCTGGATCAGTAGGCATATGTATGAAATAAGGCTGGATCACAAGGTATCTGTATGACATAAGGCTGGATCACTAGGTATCTGTATGACATAAGGCTGGATGAGTAGGTATCTGTATGACATAAGGCTGGATCCCTGGGTATCTGTATGACATAAGGCTGGATCACTAGGTATCTGTATGACATAAGGCTGGATCAGTAGGTATCTGTATGACATAAGGCTGGATCCCTAGGTATCTGTATGACATAAGGCTCGATCACTAGGTATCTGTATGACATAAGACTGGATTACTAGGTATCTGTATGACATAAGACTGGATCACTAGGTATCCTATGGCATAAGACTGGATCACCTGGTATCTGTACGACATAAGCCTGGAGCACTAGGTATATGTATGACATAAGGCTGGATCACTAGGCATCTGTATGAAATAAGGCTGGATCACAAGGTATCTGTATGACATAAGGCTCGATCACTAGGTATCTGTATGACATAAGACTGGATTACTAGGTATCTGTATGACATAAGGCTCGATCACTATGTATCCTATGGCATAAGGCTGGATCACCTGGTATCTGTACGACATAAGCCTGGAGCACTAGGTATATGTATGACATAAGGCTGGATCACTAGGCATCTGTATGAAATAAGGCTGGATCACTAGGTATCTGTATGACATAAGGCTGGATCAGTAGGTATCTGTATGACATAAGGCTGGATCACTAGGTTTCAGTATGACATAAGGCTCGATCACTAGGTATCTGTATGACATAAGACTGGATTACTAGGTATCTGTATGACATAAGGCTGGATCACTTTGTATCCTATGGCATAAGGCTGGAGCACCTGGTATCTGTATGACATAAGGCTGGATCCCTAGGTATCTGTAAGACATAAGGCTGGATCACAAGGTATCTGTATGACATAAGGCTGGATCACCTGGTATCGGTATGACATAAGGCTGGAGCACTAGTTATCTGTATGGCATAAGGCTGGATCACTAGGTATCGGTATGACATAAAACTGGATCACTAGGTATCTGTATGACATAAGGCTGGATCACTAGGTATCTGTATGACATAAGGCTGGATCAGTAGGTATCTGTATGACATAAGGCTGGATCAGTAGGTATCTGTATGACATAAGGCTGGATCACTAGGTATCTGTATGACATAAGACTGGATTACTAGGTATCTGTATGACATAAGGCTGGATCACTATGTATCCTATGGCATAAGGCTGGATCACCTGGTATCTGTACGACATAAGCCTGGAGCATTGGGTATCTGTATGACATAAGGCTGGATCACTAGGCATCTGTATGACATAAGGCTGGATCACAAGGTATCTGTATGACATAAGGCTGGATCACTTGGTATCTGTATGACGTAAGGCTGGATCATTAGATATCCTATGATATAAGGCTGGATCACTTGGTATCTGTATGACATAAGGCTGGAGCACTTGGTATCCTATGACATACTGCGGGATCACAAGGTATATAATAGTACATTTCAACACATACTCAATTTTACATGTGATTAATGTGTTCATATGTTACAGTAGGTACACATATTACATTTCAATTCATAAAGATTACATAACATAACTAAATATATTATATTGCACGGTTGTATACGGCAACTTCAGATCTCTCAGTCTCGACACGTTCACATTTTGAGACTATATCGGAAACCCAAAATCATATATGTTGGGCAACACTCGAGTCAGGTGTTGAACAAACACTCCTGTCTCAAAGGCATACCTTCAATCAGCACAAGCCCCGCCCTTCAAACAATCCCCCACCTACCCGTCAGACAGGTTTGTGTGGACAGGCACTGCAGGTACTGGGTATCACGCCGCTACATTACGGCAATCCATGTTGTCATGTCTACAAGAGAACATTTTCAAGTCCACTATGGATACGGAAGGAAGTGAACATGTGCTGCTTCGTGTTTGTTGTCTGACTACGAGTACACGATTGTTTCAGGACGAGAACGAGGCCAAGAATGAGGTCAGTACGAGTTGCCTATTCACATGTCGTGTTGATGTTTTGCCGGACGAGTGAGTTGGAGCATGGCGTCGGAGGATGTCGGTATAGCGTCTGTACTAGTAAACCTCCCTCGCACCCACCCGTCTGTAATTCTCTATACCACTACACAGAATTTGTCCCCTGGTGGAGCAGAGGGCTGTCGTGCTCGTAGTGGAGGGAATGAGTGGATTCTAACACCGAATGGAGGCTTATAGGATGTCTATGTTACAAGCGCGGGTGCTCCCGAAGCATATAGTTCACACAGTTTGTTTAGGAGAGCGATGACAGTTGGAGGCAACAAACCTATAACGAAAACCCACATATAAACTACGAGTAATCGTCACAACAAATATCACTTTATTATGTCTCACAGTGAGGCTGGAGAGCCCAGGTAAATATTAAAGAGAAGCAGCTCCGGGTACGCCAACCGTGTAATTGTTTTGTTCGTAAAACGGAATTGGTTGTGCAAAACAGTTTTGTAGCACTGTGGTAGTCTTTGTAATACATGGAAAAATGATAGTTTTTCAAACAGATCTCTGGGCTTGAATCGCCACGAATCACGGCTCTACTCCCTATAACGAGAGTACGTGCTCACTTGAGACTCAGATGAACAACCTTTGGTGCTCTTTGTGTACACTTCGAGTGACCACACCTAAAGGATTGCCGTGCTCCCTCACATGCCTTGTCATCTGTCTCTGTCACTACGGGCGTATTCCAAACCATGAAACCATGCACAACATCTGAATCATAGCACAAAGACACAGAGGAAGAAGAGTGAGAGAGAGAGAGCGAGAGAGAGAGAGAGAGAGAGAGAGATGTATCGTGGTGTATCAGCTATGGAGCTAGTCTAGTAGTTATCATTTTCAGACCCTGCACTTACAAATAGACAACGATCATAATGTTTTAATTGAATTGAGTTGGTCTGCTGTTTATAAGGTCATGTCGCGCTGACCCTTTATGGAGTATATGTTGATACAGCCGCCGAAAAGATCAAAGGATGCTATGAAAGTGTTCAGGTTACTGTCGCCCCAATAGATTATTTAGGTCTATACACATGTAAGCTCTTTGAGATCTTTATTTCAAATAATATTGTCATGGAAGATAAAGCTGACTATATTTGTCAGCAATGCAGACTACTTTAATATTTCTATACAGGGTTTAAATGTCCATACATCACTGGACATCTTAAATTGTTTACTCAGATATAATCTGCTAACATTAACACACTAATGTTTTTGAAGAAATATCTTAGTTTATGGAAACACTCAGCTGAATAATTTGAAAAATGTTATCCTTTAAATGGTATAATTCATACTGATATAAAATGTGGCGCAGCATTGTTAAAGCCGACGATGTCCCATTGTGTATAATATCATACCTATATGTTAATGTCGTACCCTGACAAAATAGAGAATGGCCAGGCATTAAAACCACAGTCAACCATTTGGTGACTTCAACATTTATGTAACCTGCACCAATCATACATACATACATACATACATACATACATACATACATACATACATACATACATACATACATACATACATACATACATACATACATACATACATACATACATATATATATATATGTCTCAATCATACATATGTGCAGGTTACATAAATGTTGAATGTTGAATGTTCAATATATATTTCAAGACAAGTTATGTTTAAAGAGTACATATTATGTCGCATCGATACCCCTCTCTCTTGGTCCACACCTGGTCATATAACATGTGTGTACTGATTACATGGCTTGAAAGCACAGTCAGTGTAGAAAGTGTAAATTTGCTCTGTTTCAGACAGAAACTGCAACAACGTCCCCTCTTGACGATGTGGCCACGCCATAAGCTGGATTAACATGAACCCAGGGTATTCCACTCCCAGGAACCATACCTTCCCTCGTGACGGTGTGACAGTCATCCCTTATGACCTTGACCCCGCCGTTGAAGGTCACGACGATAGTCCGCGTTTGACGTTCAGAACTCACTCAGGAGCTGCTTCTCTCGGAACAAGTGATGATGACGATCACCTTTCAGTGACGTCATTCCCGTTCCCACCCAGTCACAATGGGGAAGCTGAATATGGTGGCCAATCTTGTCCAAGCTCGAATCTACATTTTCACCCTGTGCGGTTAAAAAAGAAGTCTGTGTTTGTTACGTATTTTCTGACATTATTTTTGGGGATAGTTGGTGCTCATCATTTTTACCTTGGCCGCCCGAAATTTGGGACATTGTACATATTCACTGCGGGACTGCTTGGCCTAGGTTATGTTGTGGATCTGATTCGTGTGCCGTGGTTGGTTGAGAATGCAAACCTTGAACTTCACCATCCGGAGCTGAGGGGAAGGAAGTATCTCATGGACGCGTATCTTCTTTGGTTGCCTCCTTTTGGACTTTTAGGTTTGACCTCTCAATACAGAATTATGTAAAATGGTGAAAATTATCATGGGATAATGTGGACATTATGTTGTTCAAAGTTCTTATTTATCTGAAGTATCTGGCCAATAATATATCACTGTCTGTTTTCAGTTTTCAGTGCCACGAAGAATATGTTAAATCACTATCGTAATTTAATATAATATATTAAGGTCACTGTAAATAATTTAATATTTTTATAAATGTGGAGAAAAGTATCTTATTAATGCATTTTGTCGGACTCTGTTCACTAGAGTAACCGATACTTACTCTGGAATATACATATGAGTATAACGTTTTTCTCTTTATTAAAATATACATATACTGACATCGTATTATGTAAGTTTCCTTGTGTCCAGGTTTTCATCACATCTACTTGGGCAACGTGTACACAGCTATAGTGTACATGATATCACTTGGCGCTATAGTTCTGGGGTGGCTGTTGGATATCTGCTTTGTACCACTCATCTGGATGAAGATAGCAAATGTTGATTATCAGTAAGTTCGCTTATATTTTAGAATCAATGTCCCGCCTAATAAGACGAACCTATAAATGGGAATAAAATGATGTATTGGAATTATTTGTTTGATCGGCATTCTAGCAGTCAATAATGAAGCATACAACTTTAAGGACGGCAACTTCTGGCTTATTGCACAGAACGACGTTTTGGTGTAGATTCTTACACCGTTGTCAAGCTAAAGGCGACTACACCTAGCCGTTGTCAAGCTAGGGTCTGCAACCAGCTTAATAACGGTGTAGGAGCCTACACCGCACTGTTTCTCTATGCAATAAACTTGAGGTTGTCATCCATAAAGTTGTAGCAACTATATATTGTTGTATTGCCTACAACATCCCCGACAACGTAATGATATACAATAATGCTTACTAAAGGCTGTCTGGAAAAGTGATGCCATATTTGTGGAGTGCATGTCAAGCACGTCTATATGAGACATATTCCTAATTTAAACGGAAAGATTTCCGCTCGTAACCCCCGGTTTTGTTAATCATTCTATTCCTAAGAATAGATGGGATTTTTTTTATAGAAAGCCTACCTGAACCCTAACCCTAGACCTAACTCTTAACCTAACATTTTGCTAAATCTAAACCCTAAACCTAAACCCTAACCCCTAGAAATAGTCATAATAAATAGAATACATTTCAAGCGGGGGTTACGGGCGGAACTCTTACCCCTCATGAGAGATCAACAAAGGATTTAGATAGGACAAATAATTGACATGTGTCAACATCTTAATGTATTAATATGTAATGGTCGTTTAGGAAAAGATCATAATGTTGTTAAGACCACCTGTAAAGACAGATCTGTGGTTGATTATGTTATAACTACTCCTGTCTGTCTATCACATTTTACAGATTTTGAAATCTTAGATTACTCACCGCTATTTTCTGACGTGCATTGCCCCGTAAAGTTTTCACTCAGGCCACAATTCCTCAGACAGATGTCCAAACAAATACAAAGGGTAATTCAGAAAGAATTCCATTTGAAAGTAGAAAACCGAAAAGGTATGACACTGACTCATCCTCCACATTTCACCGCCGTGATATTGCTGGAATATTGCTAAAAGCGGCGTAAAACTAAACTCAGTCAGGCAGTCCACATTTCAATATCAATCAAGGCAAGGTGTGTGAACTGATTGAGTGCGCACGTGCAGCGCGAGAATCTCAGGTAAATAAACAAGTGATCAACAGCGATATCGGGAATGTGCTTATTGACGCCGCTTGTACAACTTTTGGAGAAAAGAAATCAAATGCCACTCATTCAAGCAATACGGATAAGCCCTAATTTCAAATATACAAATCCATTATTATGAAAAGATCAAGTAGCAATATACTGCCCTGTACAGCTGTTTTCTGTTTAACGACATGAGATGATGACAATGCCATACATTACCCACCTTTATTACAGACACGTTATCTCAACTGTAAATAATCACAATGCACCTGACAACACAGAGGTGATCAGACAACCTGATGTACTGTCATCACATGATTGTGTAGTTGTGATGTCATCTGATGACATGGCAATGGGTGAAGATGCTGGGAGACCCCGTGCAACACTGACGCTGTCTCCGCCGCCGTATTCTGAAGTGGATGAACTCGCTGGGGGTATGTAGACCGTGGTATTAGGTGTATACACTTACAGGCGCGAGTCATGCATGACGCCACCGCTACACCGTCATGAACGCGGTGTGCTGGAGAACACATAATCTCACGGGAAGAAGTATGGAAGTATTTAATGTTGACGTCACCCGACAGCGAGTGCTGACCTATCTATGAGGGTGTAACACACCATCTGACAGTGATATGACCGGGCTGTGAGGGTGTGACACACGCCCCGAGAGCCTGTGCTGACCTATCTGTTAGGTGTGACACACCACCTGAAAGTGATCTGATCTATATGTGATGGTATGACACACGCCCCGACAGTGATCTGACCTCTCTGTGAGGGTGTGACACACGACCTGACAGTGATCTGACCTATCTGTGAGGGTGTGACACACGCCCCGACAGTGATCTGATCTATCTATGAGGTGTGACACACGCCCCGACAGTGATCTGACCTATCTGTGAGGGTGTGACACACGACCTGACAGCCTGTGCTGACCTATCTGTGAGGGTGTGACACACGCCCCGACAGTGATCTGACCTATCTGTGAGGGTGTGACACACGACCTGACAGCCTGTGCTGACCTATCTGTGAGGGTGTGACACACGACCTGATAGCCTGTGCTGACCTATCTGTGAGGGTGTGACACACGACCTGACAGCTTGTGCTGACCTGTCTGTGAGGGTGGGACACACGCCCCGACAGTGATCTGACCTATCTGTGAGGGTGTGACACACGACCTGACAGCCTGTGCTGACCTATCTGTGAGGGTGTGACACACGCCCCGACAGTGATCTGACCTATCTGTGAGGGTGTGACACGCCCCGACACATGGCAGCCTGTGACACACGACCTGACAGCCTGTGACTGACCTATCTGTGAGGGTGTGACACACGCCCCGACAGTGATCTGACCTATCTGTGAGGGTGTGACACACGACCTGACAGCCTGTGCTGACCTATCTGTGAGGGTGGGACACACGCCCCGACAGTGATCTGGCCCATCTGTGAGGGTGTGACAAATAACCTGACAGCTTGTGCTGACCTGCCTGTGAGGGTGGGACACACGCCCCGACAGTGATCTGGCCCATCTGTGAGGGTGTGACACATAACCTGACAGCTTGTGCTGACCTGTCTGTGAGGGTGGGACACACGCCCCGACAGTGATCTGACCTATCTGTGAGGGTGTGACAGACGACCTGACAGCCTGTGCTGACCTATCTGTGAGGGTGTGACACACGCCCCGACAGTGATCGACCCGACAGCCTGTGCTGACCTATCTGTGAGGGTGTGACACACGACATGGCAGCCTGTGCTGACCTGTCTGGCAGGGTGTGACCTGTCTGTGAGGGTGTGACACACACGACCTGACAGCCTGTGCTGACCTATCTGTGAGGGTGTGACACACGACCTGACAGTGATCTGACCTATCTGTGAGGGTGTGACACACCACCCGACAGTGATCTGACCTATCTGTGAGGGTGTGACACACGACCCTACAGTGATCTGACCTATCTGTGAGGGTGTTACCTGACAGTGATCTGAGCAAGGATATGGTACTATTAAAACCTAGACACATAGCAAACCAGAATTCGAACCCACGATCACAGTTTTCAGGCATGCCCGACGGCCGTATTGTAGCACATATACATGTGGGCCCACTGTACTACTGTGTCCTCTCCCACCCTAGTGTGGTGATCTACCTTCACTTGGTGGCGATCTATAGCCTGTTTCAATATTGTATCGTCCCCTATAGTTAAACTGTTTTAAATAGATTTAATTACTAGTTTTAAATATATATCTGTGATAATCTCCTTGGTTTACTGTCCTTCACTGACAGGTGTTTATAATTTATGTTTTAATCATTATAAATCTATAACTTGTTTTTAGACACGATATGGCTGAAATATTGCCGATGTGACTTAAAATCTTAACTCACTCAATGTGTCATCTCCTCACTATTCCTGCACAGATGCACACATCACTACCACGTCACTGTTGTATGAAGCCATGTTGTACGCTGTTCCCTGGTTTCAGACGCCTGCAGTCCGCCCTCCTATGAAGAAGTACTAGCGATGAGTGCGCGAGAAAGCATCACTTGACAACACTGATGGGAGATATGTCAGGATGTCCTGAAAACGGTGCTTGCAAGCTGACATTCTATCGAACATACGTTGTGATATTCTGGTCATCCACTGATTGTACGATTGAAGGATTTTGTTACCTCCTCACTTTCGTCCTGACGATGTCTTAGCAGCATCCACTGTTAGCTGATAACCGCGATATGCACCAGTTTTTAAACAAAAAGTACTTTGCTGTGTTGGACCATGAACGGACTTCCTATGCTGGGAATCGAACCAGTTAGTATGGTGTGACAAGTGAACGTTTGGATCTCAAGACGTCCTCCACATCAATCTCCATAAATTGATTAACACTTTAAATAAACTTAAAGGTACTTTAAATATTTGTATTTGTAATAACATGAGATTTGGGGTTGTTTAGTAATGAAAACCACAAGGCTACCGGGTGTGAGCTGAGGGCACCAATGCGCTCCTTGTACGTAAAACCCTGAAACAATTGAATGTATATAATACATCTATAATGACTTCCAGACATAGTTATCAAATGTCTGGGCGTATTTGGATCTGGATAGTGAAAACAAAACACACCAAATGCCGCCTGTGCGGTTTTTCAGGGAGTTATGCAGGGAGTACAAACAGTACGATGAAAAAGCATTTGTCATCTAAACATCCAAATACTAGTTTGACCAGCCTAAACGTAGACAGGCCACTCTTGGGATATTTGCCAACTTTGGAATCGGTGCGAAAGGGCCACACACAACAATGCCCATGTGCGGTAGCGACCTGCGACCACACAACACTGTGAAAGGTGACACTATTGATACTGTTCATTAAACATCTTGAAATGTAACGTACGTGTTAATCGTTTTATTTCACATGATCTCTTTCAGTACACTTCAGTCATAATTTATCACCTAAAACAATTGAAAACGTAATTATGAAAGCGATTATCATCATAATACAATTGTCAGTAAATAATTTTGAAAAGAATTGTCCATCAATATCAGTTAAAATAGTTCCTTTTAACCGTCATGGATTCAACAAATTGCGCTGATTGTGTTCATTCCAATGGTTCTCAATAATTCACTTACAAACAATCGCTGATTATGTCTGCGTCACGTGATGCTCATAATGTACAGCAACCTGAACCCAAGGCGGCAAAGTCGCCACACCTAATAGTCAGGTCGTGCTATTTACATGTACTAAGTAAATTAGAAATGCATGAAATTACCATGAAATTAAATCAATCAATATCATTTTGAGTATGCATAATCAAGTGCATGTTTTTTATTATTTTGTAGTCCGTGATTTTACATTATTATAACAATGGAAAATGTAAGCCACATGACGATATCAAGTCGGAATAAAGTAAGTGTTAACTTGCATGATGGGAACACATTCCATGCCTTAAACTGTAATGGTTTAACATCATGTATGTGTATTACTAAGTTACCAACTTCAACATTGATCAAACAATCATCGTAGTGTGTAATGTCGTGCCAGTTATGCTAGGGTTACACTATGTTCCGGACGGCCACGGCAGCCCCGTTTCGCCGAAACAGGGACAAAACGGAATGGACTTAAGACAATGTAGGGGAACTGAATGAGCAAACGTGACAGTCCGTGATTGCCGTGGATGCCGTGCCAGATTTTCAAACTGTTCCAAAACTTGCCACGGCAGTCACGGTACGAATGAGAAACCAAGTAGGCCGTAGTAAAACGGGGGAAACGCAACAAAACGTGACGGCACGTAATAGGCCTTAACAAAACGTGTAGACGGTCCGTAGTGGGTCCGTAGTGGGACGGGAGGCATGTGTATTCCCCGGCATCTCACGGTCCTTTAAGTTTCGTCACATTCGGTCACGTTTGTCTGGCGTTTTGTCACGGTTGTTTCACCCTTGTTACCCTTTTTTCCCCGGTTCTCACGGCAAGCTAGGTTGTATGGAAGCCGATTGTACCGTTCGATCACGACGCATCTAGGCGTGTGACGGTTTACAGGGCCAGCGAGATACGGCACGTTGCGTTCTCTGGCATTCCCGCTCTGCAGCAGAAGCTGGCCTCCTTGCTGACGCAAGGACTCAATATATGCCCTCAGCAAACATACAAACACAAAATCTTCTTCATCTTGGGTTTTTTATGCTGCTCCGAGGGCACAAACGTGCTCCAAAGCTGGCCGGCGTCCACGTTTCATCCTTAGACAGTATTGACAATACGAGCAAAACTTGTCAAAACCTTGATCGAAACGTAGGAAACACGAGGGAACATATCAGAACACGACAGGCCGGGAGGAAACATTATGGCATCTGTAGTGGACTGCGGGCGAACCGTCTTTGAGCTTCCGGGACTCAGCAGCCCGTTTTCCCAACGGCCCATCACGGATACCGTGATAGACCGTGAGAAAACTTAGCAGGACCGAATAAAACTTGACTTTGGACGGGGAAAAATGGCCAAATTCCCACGGCGCACCACGTTTCCGGGAAACAGGGCTGCCGTGGCCGCCGGGAACATAGTGTAATCCTAGCATTACGCTATGGCTTGCTTGAAAGGTATGAATTTCGAGTACTTGGGTCCGAGTCGAGTCCGGACTCGCTGAAGCGCCAACATACTGAACCATCCACTTTCATGATCTGGCCTGTAGATATGGCCTGCAGATAGGCACACACAGACACAGACACACACACACACGCAGACAGACAGACAGACACACACACAGACAGAAAGACACACACACACCGTAGCTCCCTCTACCTACCAAGTAAAAACATTGACTACACAACAGTCTCGTTTCCTGCTGATGGGTTCCGTCCTATTGCGCAAATTAGTACAATAACCAGTCAATAGAATTTTGAGACCAACTCATTCAACTGGATATATACATATTAATCAATATTATTTGATACATCTAATCACTTGTATATTGCAACCCTACGCTCTTTCTAATCCTTGGAAATACGTCGTGCCCCGAGCTCTGACAAACGGAAATCTGGAAATCTTGGAAATCTCAAAACGAGTTTGGCGGTCTGGTTCGAATTTGATATTATATCAATCACATTGTACGTTACAAAAATACACTTAATAAGCGCAAAGAACATATAACAGGTGTAACCAGTGAGCCAGATGAATTGTGAATCATTGTCCGGCCTCTTCAAACAGGGGCAGTCTGTGACGTCTTAGTTAACGACATGCTACCTTAACCTCGACATAAAATATAGAAATACGATTTTTTTTAAACTTTAACATTAAAATTAATTGTAAATACCATTTTCTTATGAAACAATGAATTGGCATTTAGTGTAACCATAGGTGTTTGTGGTGTCTCTTTTCACTTTCACACGAGACAATTCGGATCGGCTGAAAAGTAGGCCATTGTCTGAATTGGTTAGTGAGACTCGTGATTCGGTTTGCTTGTAGGCTGTGTTCCTGCACTATGATGTTTGGTGTATATATCTGCTGGTTTACTTCCTGCGATATATAACGGTCTCGCCATGTGCACACCTACAGTGGTCGAGGAGAGCAGTGACATTATCTTCACACCCACTGCTCAGTGCATACTGAAGCGCCGTGCAACCATTTCTGTCTTCAACATTTGGATCAGCACCTTTGTCCAGTAGAATCTTCACATTCTCTTCACAATCATACACTTTGGCGGCAAAGTGTAAAGGAGTACAACCGTCTTTGTCTTGTGTGGATGGAGGGGAACCGTTCTCCAAAAGCATTTTCACAGTTCTGCTTCCATGTACCCCTGCTGCGTAGTGTAGAGCGGCACGACCATTTCCGTCCTGAGCACCAGCGTCAACACCGTTATCCAGGAGCACCTGGAGATTCTCCACACAGTCTCTCTCTCTTGCGGCGTAGTGTAATGGGGTACATCCATCTTTATCTCTAGGCAACGGACCATCCATTTTCTCTAAGAGATTCTTCAAGTTCCCATCACAATACAATTGTTCTGCTGCATAGTGAACTGGTGTTCTGCCATCTTTATCCTGTGCCCATATGTCAGCACCACCCTGCAGCAGCAACTTCACATTATCTTTACAATCCCTCTGTTGTGCTGCATAGTGCAATGGCGTGCAGCCATTTCTGTCTTTAGCACCCACGTCAGCACCTCCTTCGACTAATGAGGTCATAGCCATTCCAGTACCCCAGCTCTTCGCAGCATAGTGCAATGGGGTGCAGCCACTTCTGTCTTTTATGTCTGGATTACCTGCCTTCTCAAGAAGTAACTTCACATTCTCACGTCCATTAGATGACCTAGCTGCATAGTGTAAAGGTGCACAGTCATCGAAGTCTTTGGCACTGAGGTCACCACCGTTCGCGATCAGGGTCGTGATAATGTCCTGAGACCTCTCTTGCACTGCGCAGTGTAAAGGAGTACAACCAAATCTGCCGTGAATATTTGGATCCGCACCTCCCTCGAGGAGAAGGTCTACAATTTCACTTGTTACCGACACCGACACCGCATAATGTAGTGGTGTATCACCACCTGCATCTTGTACACGTGGGTTTGCACATCTCTCCAACAGAAATTTGACAATGCACGTGTTAATCCGAGGGTCTGATATAGAATCATGTTGTCCACATGCTATATGTAAGGGCGTTGTACCATCAGTGTCTCTCGTGTTGACATCCAGTCCCATATCTACAAGCAGCTCAGCTACCTCTTCATCACCGCATCCTGCAGCATAGAACAACACATTTCTACCCAGGTTGTCAACACCGTCTAAAGGAATGTTGTGCACATCTTTGAAGTAAAAGATTAAGTCAACAGCTGCAGTTTCTGACTTTCCTGCGTAGTGCATAACACTCCGACCATTGCAGTCTAATACAGATACATCGGTCCCAAGAGTGATCACATGTTTTATCATCTCCAGTTCACACATGCTGACTATATCAAACAATACTGGCTTTCCATCAGCGTCTTTCTGATTCAAGTCAGCCCCTTTGCCACAGAGATAGCGAACAGTGTCAAAGTCTTGATAAGCAGCAGCCTTGAGGAGACAGCATCTGTCATTAAAGTCAAGCTCATTGACATCGCTTCCAGCTTCTATAAAAGCCTTGACTATTTCAACGTGAGTGTCAGACTCCGTGTGCGGGAACCCGTACGGGTATAGGTCAGTGAAAGCAGTTTTCCCGTTCCGCGACGTTTCACAAACAGATGCTCCAGCATTCAGCAGGGTTTTCACATGCCCCACGTGCATCCTGGCAGCAGCAATATGGAGCATTGTTTGTCCCAGTGAATTCTTCCTGATAACATCGGCTCCAGCATGTAACAGTGGTATTATGACATCGGAGCTGTCATTATATTGTATTGCAAGCTCTAACGCACTGAGATTTGGAGACCAGTAATTGGCGGGTTCTGATTCATTCAGGAAGTCGGCTGGTGGTACACCCTTCTGTTGTAGGAACTCTATCAACAGATCCACACATTCAGCACCACCAAATGCCGCTGCCTGTTGCAAAGATGTTGTGTCCAGAAATAGAGATGATCCTCTATACGTCTTCAAGGGATCACACTTCGGGTTCTGTAGGAAGCATCTGAGGATTGTAGCATCTGAATGAGCAGCGGTCAGCCACACCAGATAATCAAGGTCAATGTCATCACTTGCTGACGACAACACATCAACTGTTTCCACATAGTTAGCGATGTCGCCAGGAACTATTAAGGCAGGGTCGGTGGGAATTTTCACAAACTTCTTCAATAACATTTCTAAATGTAGTTGAATTACATGTCTCCTTTCTCCCTTCAACAGCTTCACCAGCAGGTTTACAACCTTGGTACTTCCGCTCATCACAGCGATGCCAAACAAGTGATCCAGATTGCTCACACCTTCGAGACGGTTCTCAAAGCGTGATAGAATTGCATCTGTATATCTTTCTTCTATGTTCGGTGACTGACACAGAGCTCGAAAGCAATCTTCATTTGGATCCGCGCCCATAGAAAGCAAGTCTCTGATAAGGTCGTTGTCCTCAGTATATATAGCGCAAGCCAAACAATTGGGCAAATGGACAGAAATGTCCAGCTCTTCCAGACATACAGACTGCAACACAAGCATCATCTTTTTCAAAATGATATCTGAGAGAAGCACACTGTGTTCAAACAAAGGATATGTCTGTAGTAGCACAACAGGGTGGTCAACACTCACAGCTGTTGGCTTGTGTTCATGCAGAAGTATCTTACACTTTTCACCGGTCCATGTGTTAACCAGAAACTGCACAAACTCCTTGTGGTGAAATGATGGATGATGTAGGATAGTTTCATACTCATCAGACATCAATATTTCTGTCAATCGATGAGCAAAATCTGGAAAATACTGTTCTGATAGGCATAAAGTTGTATCGAGTCCGTCTGTGTCTCCTGCATGTGTCCTCACTAACTCCACCAGTATATCAGCGGGGCATGTGTCAATGCAAATATCTGGATACTTCTTTGAGATACTAATGAACATGGCATCAGACACCGATTGGTGTTGGAACATATATCCACTGTCTGTCTGAAGCAGGTACACGTCGCAGAGGGCTTCAGCCTTCTTGTTGATGTCTGCAAGGGTTACCTGTTCTGATATTCCACTGCAGCATTGTTGCAGACTTTGTATAAGTGTTGTGATCGGCCGTTGGAACGGGCATAGCATTTCTTCATTTAAGTATCCTTTGCTCATCAACACAATCAGTAACACAAGGTAGCCAAGGCCGTCACATTCGTGCAACGTATCCACGTCTTCCAAGATGAATTCCAGTGGGTTGTGAAAGAAACTGACGCTTTTCTCCTGTGCCCTTGTGCTGTTGGAGAAGTATGTACAGCACTGGGGGAACCCAAGGGAGACCTCGGTCTCGGTTAATGTTTCCAGTTCACTTACACTGAAGTCAACCTTACACACTTTTCGCAGCATTTTTCGTTTTTCACTTGCTGTTAATGAATACTTGCTTCCATCCAAGTCAATGTGGATAGCTTTTCTGATCAGAGGACTAGTTTTCACTTTACTGTTACACAAAGCAGATATGTCTGATCTGGAAGTGAGTACAAAGAATATGTCACCTGGTAGAGCGTGGGGCCACATCATGTCAAAGTATCTCTCACATCCAACCACTTGCTGAGGATCCAAGTTGCTCGTGCCATATATGTCATCTATCAACACAATAAACTTTTCACTGGGGCCGCTGCTGTCATTGGCTGACCGTTTCGGGATGACATCCCACTGCTGCCATGCTGACAGGATGATGGGTGTCCTTCCTGTCTCTTTTGAGATTTTGGACATAAGGCGGATCGCTAGCCTGGACTTCCCTGATCCCGACTTCCCTTCTATGTAAACAGACCCGCTGCTGGTAAACAGCCGCATCACAGACCTCTCGGCGCGGGTTGAAACATGTTGTTGTGAATTAACCTGGTTGATACGAGCCCAAGCAGAATCTAAAACAATAAGAACACATTAGTAATAATTATATTTGCAACATAGCCAATTGGCATACAAAGAGCGTGTTTGATACGATTATGCAGAGATGCCTGCAGATTCCACAGCTCTTTTGAGTGATAATGGGAAAGTGTTTGTCAAACTCCAGTGAAATACGCTTTCATGCAAATACTATGTAACTGTATCAAATATGAATTATGCCAATGTGTTGTCGAATTGCCACGATTCAAACACTGCAAATAGTTTGAGCCTCCCATTTATACATTTGTTTTGATGCATGAACATTAACCATTGTTTATACTCACTGACGATGTTTTCAAAGGGAGATTGCCCGGCGGTAACCTCGGCTCCTTTAGCAGACACAAAAAGTCTATTAAGATTACTAGTAAAATAGCTAGGAGGATGAACCCTTCATTACACAGTATCGATTACACATCCATAAATCAATCTAATGATCAATCAACTACACACATATCAATATCCGCAATGCTCCAAATCTTTGTACATGAAATGATTTGTAGAAATATCCAAATAATGGTCTGTGTTTTCATGGAAAAGGCATTTTTTTAAAACAGACGTTTACAATTATCAAAGCTACACTTGGAAAAGTTACTTTCTAGGTTCAGACATACCTTTGTATATAATTCTATTAACATGTGAGACATCACTGTCAATGTTGACAGAAACAGCGTCGATCTCGTTAACGATCGTTGTCCTTGTGCAGTCAGCCACATTATTAGCCGACGCTGTCGTCGCCATAGTTTCTGCTGTTGTTCCTGTATACATGAATGGGACAAGGATGGTATTAAAACATATCTCCCCCGTTACTTCAGTACAGTTGGAGTGAGTGAGTTGTTCCTGTATACATGAATGGGACAAGGATGGTATTAAAACATATCTCCCCCGTTACTTCAGTACAGTTGGAGTGAGTGAGTTGTTCCTGTATACATGAATGGGACAAGGATGGTATTAAAACATATCTCCCCCGTTACTTCAGTACAGTTGGAGTGAGTGAGTTGTTCCTGTATACATAAATGGGACAAGGATGGTATTAAAACATATCTCCCCCGTTACTTCAGTACAGTTGGAGTGAGTGAGTTGTTCCTGTATACATGAATGGGACAAGGATGGTATTAAAACATATCTCCCCCGTTACTTCAGTACAGTTGGAGTGAGTGAGTTGTTCCTGTATACATGAATGGGACAAGGATGGTATTAAAACATATCTCCCCCGTTACTTCAGTACAGTTGGAGTTACAGTCCGTTTGAGACAAAATGATACCGATGAGTTGCAAGCTAACACAAAAACAAATAGACATAAAAGAATCGAACCAACGCGGACTGCAATAAAAACAACAGACCAACTCTAGAAAAAAATTTGCACAATTTGTGTCACAAAAATAAAAAAGTTGTTTAAGAAACTGTCATCATTTATTTGTGCGTTTTCCAAGTATGTTACAAGGGCGCATTGGCACCTAAAGGAACAGCGCGAAAAGCGAGATGCACGTGCGTTAACGGGTTCTCAACAAAGTTTTGAGCTGGCGAGATGACACGTTTCCCCAGCTGCACAGTCAGTGCCCTGTATGTACTTAGTAATTGCATACCTGGGTCACCCCCTATCATTTTCATCCTTCAAGAAATGATAGACTTTGTAAATTATAGACTTTCATTTTCTCTCACTTTGTCAATCAGCAGTAATCACATGTCTCTGACGTCACTAATGCACGTGCATCTCGCTTTTCGCGCTGTTCCTTTAGTTGCCACTGCGCCCTTGTTACAACCTTGGGAAACGCACAAATAAATGATGACAGTTTCTTAAACAACTTTTTAACATTTTTTCTAGAGTTGGTCTGTTGTTTTTATTGCGGTCCGCGTTAGTTTGATTGTTTTATGTCTATTTGTTTTTGTGTTAGATTGCAATTCATCGGTATCATTTTGTCTCAAACGGACTGTAGTCAGTTGGGGTTTACGCCACTTTTAGCAATATTCCAGCAATATCACGGCGGGGGACACCAGAAATGGGCTTCACTCATAGTACCCATGTGGGGATTCGAACCCGGGTCTTCGGCGTGACGAGCCAACGCTTTAACCACTAGACTACCCCACCGCCCCACAATGCAGTTGGAAGTACGTCGGGCAATATCTCAGTTAAATCAAACTGCATTAATTTCACTTGAAAGGTAGGTGGGGAAAAGTACTAGAGGGCGGGGCCGGGGGGTCAACAATTTTGTAAATAGATTTTTTTTATGCTTAAAAATTATGGGAAGGGGGTGGGTGTGTCATTCAGTTTGTACATGACACGCAGGGGGTCAATTACTTTGTTCATATATTTTAGGGGTGGGGGCATTCACATTGTACATACTTCTCCATAAAAATCATCACCCCCACCCACCTCGCCATAAGTTATGAACGGTCCCTAGTTACGCTGACTATGTTGGATACTGTGATGAAACACACAAACCCGGAAGTATGATCAACACAACAACGCAGGAGGGTGTCTGTGGGCAGTTTGAGTTTTGAACACATGGAATTCTGTACATGGAGGTATAACCTGTACTTACTGAAGCCGTGGCTACTGTAGGCTAGGCGTGGCAGCTACTGGATCTAGTACCACTCTCATCCACACCGTCCTGGCGACATGGTAAACATGCTGCGGAAGTACAGCTGTGTTACCTCCCCTGATAATGTAAAGTAAAATGTATATTTTATTGACGTTTCGCCGAGTGTTGCACAGGGACAATATAAACCTGTACGCATATATGTCGATTACACCCGGCATGAAGTAACATGCACTGACTATAGGTAGGCTAATCATCTCGCTAGTAAATCGGAGACATCAATTACCTTGCGAGTACAAGAGTGAGTGAGTATGGTTTTACGCCGCATTTAGCAATGTTCCAGCAATATCACGGCGGGGGGACACCAGAAATGGGCTTCACACATCGTACCCACGCGGGGAATCTAACCCAGGTCCTCAGCGCGACGAGCGCACACTGTAACCACTAGGCTAACACCCCCCTACCCTGTGAGTGAGTGAGTGAGTTTAGTTTTATGCCGCACGCAGCAGTATTCCAGCTATATGGTGGCGGTCTGTAAATATTCGAGTGACTATTCAGTGATCAACAGTATGAGCATCGATCTACGCACCTGGGATACGATGTTATGTGTCAACCAAGTCAGCGAGCCTGACCACCCGTTCCCGTTAGTTGCCCCTTACAAGCGTGGATTACTGAAAACCAATCCTACCCCGGATCTTCACGGGTACCGCGAGTAGAAGATGAAGTCACTTTGCCTGTTATTCTCAGTTGCATGATTAAGGGACACTACGCCCTGTTCGTCCCTGGACGTTGGATCCAGATTATTGTATCTCTTTCTTTATAACAAGATCCGTCCCTCCCCCAGTGAATCACAGTCAGGGATCTGTAGCAAAATATGTTGAGAAATATGCAGTATCATCTGGTACAAAACAGGTCCCAAGCAAACCACTTACCTTTAGTTCAAATACATGTAGCTAAGTTCATGGCCAGATATCTGTAAACATCGATGTTTGTCGGTAACAATATCCCAACTTGTACCCACATCTTACAGTCTATAATCTGTCATGTATTTCAGATCGGTTTAACCCCGAGCGAGATCGCAAGGGGATTAGTGCTAACAAGGGATTAGTTCACAGAGTTCAGTTATCCGGCTACTAGCGTGTGTATAATTAATCACCGGGCCAGCTGGCAAACATGTTAAGGGGTGGGCACGGTTATTTCTCGAAAAGTCGTCCCAAAGTCAGCCAAATATTCATTTGTGAGCGTCAACGCTCCGGACATCCCAACTGTCAGGACAGACAGGTATGTTGCTCGCTATTATACAACAGGTATTGTTGACATGTCTATCTGACTGACCTACTGACTGACTGACTGACTGACTATCAGACTGATTGATAACATTAAATTTAAGAGATAATGATAATAATAATTGTATGTATGTTGAATTCTTAAATCCATTGACTACTCTACCACCATCGCCACTATGACTTTCACGACCCTGTACTACTGTTACTATACTACTCACACTTTGCTAAGGGTCACAAAAATTCCCAACTTTACTTAAACATACATTTATAATTTGAAATTGTATCCATTTAAAACCAGATAAATAATGATATGGTAACCCCTTCTTTAGGCAAATAGCTTTAATCTAACCTTATGTACTTGATACATGAGTAACCATAAAAATGGTTTTTATGGCACCAATCAACCATTTTGCAAATTATGGAACGAGTCATTGACAAGTACACAACACCTGTCAGTAGCAGGTATGGGATCCACAAGATGCAGTGACATACTGAAACCTAGGATCCATGCTTTCAATATGCTTAGATATTTAAACCAAATTAGACCCAACATCATAGTTTTCTGTTGAATCAATGGTTTGATCCTTAGCAAAGTGTGAATAGTATACTACAACTACTGCTACTACTACTACTACAACTACTACTACTACTACTACTGCTACTGCTGCTGCTGCTACTACTACTACTACTACTACTACTACTACTACTACAACTACTACTACTACTACTACTACTACTACTACTGCTGCTGCTGCTACTACTACTACTACTACAACTACTACTACTACTACTGCTACTACTACTACTACAACTACTACTACTACTACTACTACTGCTGCTACTACTACTACTACTACTACTACTGCTACTACTACTACTACTGCTACTACTACTACTGCTACTACTACTACTACTACTGCTGCTACTACTGCTACTACTACTACTACTGCTTCTACTACTACTGCTACTACTACTACTGCTACAATTACTACTACTGCTACTACTACTACTACTGCTGCTATTGCTGCTGCTGCTGCTATTGCTGCTGCTGCTATGGCTGCTCCTACGTCTATAGTTACCAGAAAGATCCGGTTTTAAAGTTGGTCCTCAGTGACCCATGCTTGTTGTTTGAGGCGACTAACGGGATTGCAGGTTTTCAGGCTCGCTGATTCGTTGACGTAATACTATGATGTCATAATCACATGTAGATGCTCATGATGTCAGTCACTGTGTGGTCTGGAGAATGTTGAACACAGAACTACATTATAAAACTTCGATAATGCTAGGTGGGAGGTAAAACAACAAAGAACCAAATATCTACAACGAAAATCAATGTTGCACAAGGACCATACTTTATGACTTAATGAATCAGGGATTGGATCACTTTACATTTGTCCCTCAAGTGTCTACATATGTGTTCTGCTTTCGCCAGTTAGAAGTGAGTTTTTGGCAAATCACTGCATCATAAACCTTTTTCTGTGGCATACCAACGTTTGGTTATGGCGCACGGACAAGTCAGCGCACTGTCTTGTCACACGTACATACGAATAGACAAAGATATTCTCACAAGCACTTCATTACCGCACATTCATAACGACCTGTCTGACAACAGTTCTAGACCCTGTCCCACCTTCAGCCAGGGATTATCCGGGATAAGCTATAGACCACATCCAGTATGTATCGTACTCATTACACCTAAGGTAAACCGGACCAGTCAACAGTTCACAATAATTACTCACAGGTAACATACAAAATAGATACAAGATAACAACTTTGATACTGGATCTAAAACAATTATAGAGGAATTGTAAGAGCAGAAAACTTGCAAACAATGGCATGATGGTGCCGGGAGAAATGACTGACTGAGTGACTGAGTGACTGACTGAGTGACTGACTGACTGACTGAGTGTTGTTTGACGCCGCTTGTAGCAACATTCCAGCAACATCACGGCGGGGGACACCAGAAATGGGAGTTCAGTCACGAATACACACGTGTACATAATGTCAATGTTTCACTGGAAAGTGTATAATTAATTTTGGAACACAAGCAACATACGTCACGTGCTGCTACATGGCGTAGTCGCGAGGTATAATTCCTATTTTGTTTGTATGAACGATAGGAGGTAGATTGAATATCTGAGATGTTGTTAAAGAAAATACCACCGCATTCCGTGTAAGCGTTACAAACATCCCCTGTGGTGGTTTGTGTCTAGATGCACGGTATGTCACACAGACCCGACCAACCTATAGGGGCAGGGACCAGGTTTTTCTTAACCTCTCTGTATGATGTTGGTCAGGCTCCCAGTGGTATTCTGATCATGCTCTCGGATATTTACAGTAGCGAGAATATTGTGTGACATACAACGTAATCTTTACATGACTCTTTTGTTATGTATTACAGTAGGATGTACATTTACCTACGACATACTGAAACACAGAGCCACTGTCTCTGCTGGCAAGGGAATGAAGTATTGTCATGTGGATTCCATGTACATCCACATAAACTCCGTGCACTGTTACCTTTTCAATCATAATTCAACTCTGTTCTGATACCTGTGTGTGTATATGGTTCGCCGCATATCAGCAGCTGAATACGATGTCTTTGTTGGTGTGGCTGGTGTCCCGCAGCCTTGACAAAACACTTACCTATGTAACGTGGGCATAACGAAGAAGCAGAATTCGGGAATACAAGCAGCGTTGTGCATCACGTGGCTGGGTTTCTGTGAAAGGGGCGAAGGCTGTTCAGCAACGTGGGCAAGTTAATGAAACGTACACCACTTGCTGACAATAAGGAGTGGTTAGAAATAGCGACTTGTGACCTATTACTACGCGTATGTAAAATTCGTTAATGCAATCCGATTTTCGTTATTCACGTTTATTCTAAAGCTCTGTAGTTGAAACTGGGATCGTGCTATGTTTAAAATGCTGTATGCATTATGTGCTAAATTTGAAACTCCACCAAATTACCGAACTTTTCGTGTGATTGATTGCAACAAATATCTCTCGTAACTGATCACTTACTGAACGCACATGAATAAATATGCATCAGCGTTGAATGATTATTTGAAGTTAAAAAATGTTAATGTTAAAAAAATAGAATACGCTTATACATGGGGTCGTAATTACAACATATAATAGAGACTATCAAATAATGTTTCGATTTGCTGTCATTGTGAATTTGTGATTCTTACTTGAGAATGTTTTGAATATCGACATACCGAGGCAGTAGATCTAGAAAACATGACACTGGTAATAACGGATGAAGAACACACGTGAAGGGTAGTGAAGTACACACGTGAATGTTAGTGAAGTACACACTTGAAGGGTAGTGAAGTACACACGTGAACGGTAGTGAAGTACACACGTGAACAGTAGTGAAGTACACACGTGAATGGTAGTGAAGTACACCCGTGAACAGTAGTAAAGTGCACACGTGAAAGGTATAAAAGTGTACACGTGAAGGGAAGTGAAGTACAAACGTGAAGGGTAGTGAAGGACACACGTGAAGGGTAGTGAAGTACACACGTGAACAGTAGTGAAGTACACGCGTGAAAGGTTGAAAAGTGTACACGTGAAGGGAAGTGAAGTACAAACATGAAGGGTAGTGAAGTACACACGTGAAGGGTTGTGATGTACACACGTGAAGGGTAGTTGAGCATACACGTGAAGGGTAGCAAGGTGCACACGGCAAGGGTAGTATAGTGCACCCGTGAAGGGTAGTGAAGTACACACGTGAACAGTAGTAAAGTACACACGCGAAGGGTAGTGAAGTACACACGTGAAGGGTAGTAAAGTACACACGTGAAGGGAATCAAGGTGCACACGTGAAGGGTAGTAAAGTGCATACGTGAAGGGTAGTGAAGTACACACGAGAAAGGTTAAAATGTGTACACGTGAAGGGCAGTGAAGTACACACGTGAAGGGTAGAAAAGTACACACGTGAAGGGTAGCAAGGTGCACACGTGAAGGGCAGTTAAGCGCACCTGTCAAGGGTAGTGAAGTACACACGTAATAAGTAGTGAAGTACACACGTGAAGGGTAGTGAAATACACACGTGAAAGGTAGTAAAGGACACACGTGAAGGGTAGTAAAGTACACACGTGAAGGGTAGCAAGGAGCACACGTGAAGGGTACTGAAGTACACACGTGAACAGTAGTGAAATACACACGTGAAGGGTAGTGAAGTACACACGTGAAGGGTAGTGAAGTACACACTTGAAGGGTGGTTGAGTACACACGTGAAGGGTAATAAAGTGCACCTGTTTAGGGTAGTGAAGTACACACGTGAACAGTAGTGAAGTACACACGTGAAAGGCAGTGAAGTACACACGTGAAGGTAGTGAAGTACACACGTGAAGGGTAGTAAAGTACACACGTGAAGATTAGTTGAGTACACACGCGAAGGCTAGAGAAGTACATACGTGAAGGGTAGAAAAGTGTACACGTGAAGGCTAGTGAAATACACACGTGAAGGGTAGTTGAGTACACACGTGAAGGGTAGAAAGGTGCACACGTGAAAGGTTGTGAAGTACACACGTGAACAGTAGTGAAGTGCACCTGTGAAGGGTAGAAAAGTACACACGTGAAGGGTAGTTGAGTACACACGTGAAAGGTAGAAAGATGCACACGTGAAAGGTAGTGAAGTACACACGTGAACAGTAGTGAAGTGCACCTGTGAAGGGTAGAAAAGCACACACGTGAAGGGTAGCTGAGTACACACGTGAAGGGTAATGAGGTACACACGTGAAGGGTAGAAAAGTACAAATGTGAACGGTAGTAAAGTGCACATGTTAAGTGTAGAAATATGCACATATGAATGGCAGTAAGGTACATTATGTGAACGTAGAAAAGTGCACATTTGACCTGTAAAAAAGTGCAAAAAGGGAAGTGAAGTACACACGTGAATGGTAGTTAAGTACACACGTGAAGGGTAGTGAAGTACACACGTGAAGGGTAGTGATGTACACACTTGACGGGTAGTTGAGCACACACGTGAAGGATAGCAAGGTGCACACGTGGAGGGAAGTAATGTGCCCCTGTGAAGGGTAGTGAAGTACACACGTGAACAGTAGTGAAGTACACACGTGAAGGGTAGTGAAGTACACACGTCAAGGTTAGTAAAGTACACACGTGATGGGTAGTTGAGTACACACGTGAAGGGTAGAAAGGTGCACACGTGAAGGGTAGTAAAGTGCCCCCGTGATCAGTTGTGAAGTACACAAGTGAACAGTAGTGATCTACACACGTGAAGGGTAGTGAAGTACACACGCGAAGGGTAGTAAAGTACACACGTGAAGGGTAGTAAAGTGCACCTGTGAAGGGTAGTGAAGTACGCACGTGAAGGGTAGTAAGGTACACACGTGAAGGGAAGAGAAGTGCTTACGTGAAGGGTAGTGAAGTACACACGTGAACAGTAGTGAAGTACGCACGTGAAGGGTAGTGATGTACACACGTGAAGGGTAGTGAAAAGTACACCACGTGAAGGGTAGTAAAGTGCACCTGTGAAGGGTACACACGTGAAAAGTACAATGTGAAGGGTAGTAAAGTAACCGGTAGTGAAGTACACACGTGAAGTAGTGAGTGAATACAAGGGTGTGGAGGTAAAGGGTTACACTTGAAGGGTGGTTGAGTACCACATGTGAGGAAGTAGTGAAGGGTACACACACCGTGTGAACAGTAGTGGTGAAGGGCAAGGGTGAAAAAGTACACACGTGAAAGTGCAGGTAGTAGTTAAGTACACCTGTGAAGGGGTACACGTGAAAAGGTAGTGAAGTACACACGTGAAGGGTAGTTAAGTACACACGTGAAGGCTAGTGAAAGTACATACGTGAAGGGTAAAAAGTACACACGTGAAGTACACACGTGAAGGCTAGTTGAGTACACACGTGAAGGTAGAAAGGTGCACACGTGAAGGGGAAGTAAAGTACACACCGTGATCAGTTGGAAGTACACAGAAGTGAACAGTAGTGATCTACACGTGAAGGGTAGTGAAGTACACACGTGAAGGGTAGTGAAGTACACGTGAAGGGTAGTAAAGTGCACACGTGAAGAAGGTGAGAAGTACACACGTGAAGGGTAGTGAAGTGCACACGTGAAGGGTAGAAAGGTGCACACGTGAAGGGGGTAGTGAAGTGCACACGTGAAGGGTGTAAGGTACACACGTGAAGGGGTAGTGAACACACACAGTGAAGGGTAGTGAAGTACACACAAAGGGCAGTGAACTACACACACAAAGGGAGTAAAGCACACGTGAAGGGTGCAGTGAACTACACACGTGAAGGGGAGTAAAGTGCACACACGTGAAGGGTAGTGAACTGACACACATGAAGGGGTAGAAAACACACACGTGAAGGGTAGCAACTGCACACGTGAAGGGCAGTGAACACACACATGAACAGAAGTGAAGTACACACGTGAAGGGTAGTGAAGTACACACATGAAAGGTAGGTGAAGTGACACGTGAAGACACGTGAACTACACACACAAAGGGGAAGTGATGTGAAGTACACGTGAAGGGTAGTGAAAGCACACGTGGGAAGTGGAAATACGTGAAGTGCACACGTGAAGGGCAGTGAACCACACACACGTAGAAAGGGAGTGAAGTACACACGTGAAGGGCAGTGATGTACACACACACAAGTACACCCGTGAAGGGGTGAAGTACACACACGTGAAGGGTAGTGAAATACACACGTGAAGGGTAGTAAAAGTACACACGTGAAGGGTAGAAATATGTACACATGAATGGCAGTAAGGTACATTATGTGAACGTAGAAAAGTGCACATGAAGGCAGTGACCACGTGAAGGGTAGTAAAGTGCACACGTGAAGAAGTACACACGTGAATGGTAGTGAAATACACACGTGAAGGGTAGTGAAGTACACACGTGAAGGGTAGTGAAGTACACACTTGAAGGGGTGGTTGAGTTACACACGTGAAGGGTAATAAGAGTGCACACGTGGAGGGAAGTAATGTGCACACGTGAAGGGTAGTGAAGTACACGTGAAAGGCAGTGAAGTACACACGTGAAGGGTAGTGAAGTACACACGTGAAGGGTAGTAAAGTACACACGTGAAGGGTAGTTGAATACACACGTGAAGGGTAGAAAGGTGCACACGTGAAAGGTAGAAAAGTGCCCCCGTGAAGGATTAGTGAAATACACAAGTGAACAGGGTAGTGATCTACACACGTGAAGGGGTAGAAAAGTACACACGTGAAGGGTAGTGAAAGAACACACGTGAAGGGTGGTAAAGTGCACCTGTGAAGGGTAGTGAAGTACGCACGTGAAGGGTAGTAAAGGTACACGTGAAGGGTAGAGAAGTGCTTACGTGAAGGGTAGTGAAGTACACACGTGAACAGTAGTGAAGTACACACGTGAAGGGTGAAAAAAGTACACACGTGAAGGGTAGTGAAGTACACACGTGAAGGGGGTAGTGAGGTACACACGTGAAGGGTAGTGAAAGTACAAATGTGAACGGTAGTAAAGTGCACATGTTAAGTGTAGAAATAATGCACATATGAATGGCAGTAAAGTACATTATGTGAACGTAGAAAAGTGCACATTTGACCTGTAAAAAGTGAAAAAGGAAGTGAAAGTACACACGTGAAGGGTAGTTAAAGTACACACGTGAAGGGTAGTGAAGTACACACGTGAAGGGTAGTGATGTACACACTTGACGGGTAGTTGAGCACAGTACGTGAAGGATAGCAAAGGTACATACGTGGAGGGTAGTAAAATGCCCAATGAAGGGTAGTGAAACACACACGTGAAGGGTAGTGAAGTACACACGTGAAGGGTAGTGAAGTACACACGTCAAGGTTAGTAAAGTACACACGTGATGGGTAGTTGAGTACACACACGTGAAGGGTAGAAAGGTGCACACGTGAAGGGTAGTAAAGTGCCCCCGTGATCAGTTGTGAAGTACACAAGTGAACAGTAGTGATCTACACACGTGAAGGGTAGTGAAGTACACACGTGAAGGATAGTGAAGTACACACGTGAAGGGTAGTAAAGTGCACCTGTGAAGGGTAGTGAAGTACGCACGTGAAGGGTAGTAAGGTACACACGTGAAGGGAAGAGAAGTGCTTACGTGAAGGGTAGTGAAGTACACACGTGAACAGTAGTGAAGTACGCACGTGAAGGGTAGTGATGTACACACGTGAAGGGTAGCAAGGTGGACACGTGAAGGGTAGTAAAGTGCACCTGTGAAGGGTAGTGAAGTAGTGAATGGCAGTAAGGTACATGTGAACAGTAGCAAAAGTGAAAAGTGACATGACGTGAAGGGTAGTGAAGTACATACGTGAAGGGTAGTTAAGTGCACCTGTGAAGGGGAGTGAAGTACACACGTAAAGGGTAGTGAAATACACACGTGAAGGGATTAAAGTACACACGTGAAGGCTAGTGAAGTACATACGTGAAGGGTAGAAAAGTACACACGTAAAGGGTGTACACGTGAAGGGTGCTGAAATACACACGTGAAGGAAGTAGAAAAGTGTTGAGTGCACGTGAAGGGTAGAAAGGTGCACACGTGAAGGGTACTGAAGTACACACGTGAACGGTCGTGAAGTGCACCTGTGAAGGGTAGGAAAATACACACGTGAAGGGTACTTGAGTACACACGTGAAGGGTAGCAAGGTGCACACGTGAAGCGTAGTGAAGTACACACGTGAACGGTAGTGAAGTGCACCTGTGAAGGGTAGAAAGGTACACACATAAAGGGGAGTGAATACACACGTGAAGGGCAGTGAACTACACACATAAAGGGGAGTGAAGTACACACGTGAAGGGCAGTGAACTACACACATAAAGGGGAGTGAACTACACACGTGAAGGGGAGTGACGTACACACGTGACGTGAAGGATAGTGAAGTACACAAGTGAAGAGTAGTGAATATAGGTGAATATTTCTACTTTTCCGCCGCTTTTAGAAGTATTCCAGCATAGTCAGGACGAAGTACACTATAGATGGGCATTAGATTGCTACCACGCGGAGAATCTTAAACTGTCTGTAGGCAAGTGTTTACATTTTAAGTATCGAACTTATATAAATAGAATACATAATATACAAGCATCGTATAGCGCCCTGTATGATTCAGGAACTAAAACACTGTAAGGCGCTTAAACCAGTGAGCTAACACCCACGACTCCAGGCACCATATCTACACTCGTGATACTGCGTCTGGACTACCGTGTCCCCTGTCATCCCCATCTCTCATGGAGCTGCATCTATAAATAAGTGATATCAAATACCGAGGCGATCGCCAGGTCTGGGTATCATGTTCAGGCTTCCATTTCTATGTAGACCATAACTGTATTGTGGGCCCACGACAAACCTACCTAACATACCTATACGATTACATACCCCCACCCTGACCCGGCTGTTGTTCCACCTTCCCCACCCGTCAGCCCCAAGCTTGGAGGAAACGTTCCAACTGAATGAGCATTTTCGTCACGGTGAATGACTTCGTTTTGTTCTCACAATACCCTGAACGAGACGACACTGCCTTTAGAATATAAGCTAGGTATTTTTTCAGTAAAACAATCTTGTATATAAGTTGACAGTGGAACGCCGTGTGTCGGACTATGTGGACGTTTACTTTCTACCGTCAAGTATTTCTTGATCAGACCTAACACACATCCAGGTCAGTAGTTGACTCTAGTTGTAAATGTGGGGACTGTTGGGTTTGATGACACAGCTCATGACGTATCTACTATCCAAGTTTCAGGTGCAGGTATGTAGATGTACAAATGTGTCACCTGTAACGTCGGTGATGCCCTGCCAGCTTCGTGTCTTATTACACACAAGTTAAAGTAACAATCTCCCGTTTCAATCACAGTCCTAACCACATTGTTAAACAAAGTCATTTCTGTAACTGATTCTAACTTTAACTCACCTGTGCTTATGTATTTCACAACTGTGCCATTCACAAAGCACATGTTCCCAGAATGACACACTGCCGTAATTAGGGGTATGTTCTGACAATCTTTACATTTTCCCCATTAATCGTACGGTGGTAACAGAACAATGTCTTCAAATACCACTTGACCCCCGCATTAGCATGTACATATTAATCATAAAATAATTGTATAAAATGTTCCGTAGTTTTACATGACTTTATGAGGAAAGATGTGAATGTACACGAAGGTGTTTCAAATGAGAATTTTCATCAAACGTATGATAATATGTTTACATGTTATCTGTGTACCCTATAGACTTACGTCTTGAGAGACTCCAATACAGCCAGAATCACGGAGTCAGCGTCGCTATTGAATCGCTCAGACTGCAGTGATGGCACCGTCCCTGCCCATTACCGTATCTTACTGCGGGGTATTGGAGAACATCCTGTTTGAAACTAACATTCAGTTCTGTCCAGTTACTCTGATCCACCGACCTGTTGGTGGTACAAGACAGTGTTAAACATCAGATGAAACAAACAACATACCAGCATGTATAAGGTGAACAGTTCATATGAAGTATGTTTATTTTATGTACTCAGTATATCTGATCACTTCACAGTGTTAACTTGAGTGAAGTTATAGTTAAGGTATTTAATTAATATCACTATGTAAAATCTTGTAGCTAAGGCTTCACTTATCATGTGTTTGGAGGGGAAAGTAGGCACGGAGGCCAGTTTGATTCTCTGAATGTGCACACTAGGCTATGACACTGTAGGTTGGTAGTCATCGGTGTAATGCATCTGACCAGTGTATAGTCAGCGTCATTATTGAAGGGTCACCTAGGTGTGTTGGATATCTATACAATAACCTATGCCTACGTCTAAAGGTCTGAGTATATCAATTAACAAATGAAAAAAATCTTGCCTATGTCCATGTTCAACTGGTTGTATGTATTTATGAATCTGAAAACAATGACAACGGCTTTTGAATTAGATGAAAAGAGCACGGTTTAAAGGGATGGAAAAAGCTACCCTCAAACATCCGGTTCAGTGGTTCAGCGCATATACATTCAACACATGACAAGGGACAGTCAAAGCAGGTGTAAAATGGTGTATTCTAGAGGCAATTGAAACGATCCTTTAGAAATTGAAAATCCCACGTTTTATCTCTCTATGCACTCCCCCTGTTAACGGATGAACGTGTAATGTCAGGCATTTCGCACATGCATTATATTCCATTTCTTTAGTTCATGGCTGTCTACAATACAATCATCAAAAGGTTCGCTTGAAATTATATACATATATGTTCAAATACCCCTGTAATTATTTCAATGACTGTTTGGAAATAGACAGACTCTGGAAGTAAACTCTGACAAAACGCGTCTGTCCACACATTGTGACTGACTTTCGTTGTGAGAAGTAGGCCGCCAGTGAAACAGATAGTATAGGGTGTCCCTTGTACTCAGTCTGAGAAATAGTTTCCACATTTTGCTGGCCAGTCGGGTTAGCTATGCCTGAAAGTTACTAGCCCACAAAACAATTCACTAGCCCGAAATTTGAATGTAGAAACCAAGCAAAAGATTACAAAAACATAAAATACTATCAAAAACAAGAAAACGCTTCTCTGAATATCTGAAATAATTTGTTTATGCTCAAAATATTAATAACTTAAATAAGTCGGAAAGATGATATTTACAAAATGACACCATGAAAAAGCACAAACCAGCCTGGATTTTCACTAGCCACGGGCTAGCGGGTCAATGGCTATTTCGGACAATGACTTGTAGTACATTCATGTAAACTTGGAGTATGCTCTTATTATCAGGGTACTAACATGAACCTGTGAGTAAAACTCGTGATTAAAATAATGGTATAATGTACTGATTACGTCAGCAATGTTACAGCAGCAGCATGGACGGGGAAATACTCGAACTTCACTAACCAATCAGATGGTGTCCTCCCAAAAGTTAGACGTCCCAAAAGTTAGACGCGTTAAAACAACAAAGGTTGTGGTTGGTTGCACTGAGGTTCACTACACTGTTACCTTCGTTAATTAATGGACTAGTCAAAAATGTACTAATCCAAACACAAAGAGAAGTGATTATGGATAATGACAATGACTTTATATTAGATTGGGTAGGCCAGACCAATTGTATTTCTTGTTTTACGGATTTTTGTCCTCAGAAAAGCTAAAGGCATTGGGGAATAAAAATAAAAATAAATACTGATAGTATTTTATTTTTGGCAATCTATGAAGTGTATATGGGGCAAAGCAGTATCTAAAAAAGATTCTTGTAAATTTACATGTTTGACCAATAAAATATTTGGATTTTATTTTTTGAGCGGGGATAATTAACTTTTTTTCCTTATTCTTGAAAAAATACGACAGGCGGATCCGTAAAACAAGAAATAAAATTGGTCTGGCCTTATGTGGAAAAACATGTTAGGAAGGAAGTAACTCTATTAGAGTAATGAAAACTCAAAAACATAAAAAATCTATAATCCTGTTTTGATCAAAGGGAACTTGTAAAAACAATTATACTATTCCAGGACTGTATATACATGTCAACTACAACTTGTTTAAACATTTGAAGAAACTGGGATTCATTTAAGACCTTCTTACATGCAGATAAATGTACATTTTCAAGATTTATTAATACCCCATACTTCGGCACCATACAAAAGGATTGGTTGAATTTGGGTATCAAATATATTGAAAAATACAGAATAGTCAACATTATCTAATTTATATAGGTGGTGTAGTACTTCTAGACGTTCCCTTTTATCCCGAGATGATAAATCTGATATACATTTATTGAACTTACAAGAAGATGAAAAAAGCATACCTAGATATCTAAATGAATCAACTGTTAAGACACTTTCACCTTTATGAAACCATTTCTCATTTCTCGCTTAGGGTCCACCTCTTCTAGAAACAATAATTTGAGTTTTCTCTAGATTAACTGTCAACATTAGTATTCTGATCAAAGTATTTCTGCACAAATATGAAAACCATCTCGTTAGTGTATGGGACAGGTTCATTATATCAGTGGGTAAGACTAGATTGTAATCACAGTCACGCCTGATTGATTTGTCTGACAATTGGGATGTCTGACTTTTTGGACGTCTAACTTTTGGGAGTAAACCAATCATATGATTAAATACCAATAACTACCTCTCAGCGAAACTGTTGAATTGAACCTTTGAACGACATTTAGAAGTGACACAGGCGGGAATTTACGGAGGAGTAAGAATATACTGAGAAACGTCTAGACCCTCAAAATATAGAAGTTGACATCTATGTTGAATTGAACATCACGTCCTTAAGTGATCTACTACTAGAAAAAAATATCAATCATTTTTGAAAATCAAAAACATTCTTTTACCGATCGTCACAACCTTAATGCAGTGTTCACAGTGTACATGGGAATACATATTGGGTAGGACAAACGACAACAATCGTCACAACCTTAATGCAGTGTTCATAGTGTACATGGGAATACATATTGGGTAGGACATACGACAACAATCGTCACAACCTTAATGCAGTGTTCACAGTGTACATGGGAATACATATTGGTCACATACGACAACAATCGTCACAATGCAGCAGTGTTCACAGTGTACATGGGAATACATATTGGGAGGACATACGACAACAATCGTCACAACCTTAATGCAGTGTTCATACAGTGTACATGGGAATACATATTGGGTAGGACATACGACAACAATCGTCACAACCTTAATGCAGTGTTCACAGTGTACATGGGAATACATATTGGGTAGGACATACGACAACAATCGTCACAACCTTAATGCAGTGTTCATAGTGTACATGGGAATACATATTGGGGAGGACATACGACAACAATCGTCACAACCTTAATGCAGTGTTCACAGTGTACATGGGAATACATATTGGGGAGGACATACGACAACAATCGTCACAACCTTAATGCAGTGTTCACAGTGTACATGGGAATACATATTGGGAGGACACGACAACAATCGTCACAACCTTAATGCAGTGTTCACAGTGTACATGGGAATACATATTGGGTAGGACATACGACAACAATCGTCACAACCTTAATGCAGTGTTCATAGTGTACATGGGAATACATATTGGGTAGGACATACGACAACAATCGTCACAACCTTAATGCAGTGTTCATAGTGTACATGGGAATACATATTGGGGACAAACGACAACAATCGTCACAACCTTAATGCAGTGTTCACACGACAACAATCGTCACAACCTGTTCATGCAGTGTTCACACAACCTTAATGCAGTGTTCACAGTGTACATGGGAACATACATACAACAATCGTCACAACCTTAATGCAGGACATGTACATGGGAATACATATTGGGGACAACAATCGTCACAACCTTAATGCAGTGTTCACAGTGGGAATACATGGGACAAACGACAACAATCGTCACAACCTTAATGCAGTGTTCATAGTGTACATGGGAATACATATTGACAACAATCGACAACAATCACAACCTTAATGCAGTGTTCACAGTGTACATGGGAATACATATTGGGTAGGACATACGACAACAATCGTCACAACCTTAATGCAGTGTTCACAGTGTACATGGGAATACATATTGGGTAGGACATACGACAACAATCGTCACAACCTTAATGCAGTGTTCACAGTGTACATGGGAATACATATTGGGTACATATTGGGAGGACAAAACAATCGTCACAACCTTAATGCAGTGTTCACAGTGTACATGGGAATACATATTGGGTAGGACAAACGACAACAATCGTCACAACCTTAATGCAGTGTTCACAGTGTACATGGGAATACATATTGGGTAGGACATACGACAACAATCGACCAGTTGATTATTTCAAATTCCATGCACAAAACTCAGTTTGAAATCTAGTTCTTAACCCGACTGTGACGCCACGTTGAGCTTGCAAGGCTTGTTAATGTTTCCTTCCCCTATGTTATAGTAACGTAGAAGCACGGAGCCTAATTTAAAATGACAATCTCATTAAATACTAGACTCGACCCATAACAATTCACTAAATGTCTTGGCTAAAGTAAACATTCAGGTGTTTCATATGTGACGGTAGAATGGCGAGAGACATTGGATGTCAATTTCATTCTTGCGTGGTTAAATCTCATCTCACTCAGCCCCACTCTGAAGTATAGTTATCTCATGTTTCATAGTACATGATGGTTTTGGCCATTGTGTTCATTTCCTACACTGCGTTCCGTTTCGAATATAGGGAATTTCCACATTCAAGAGATGTCGCCGCGCAGAGCTGTGACTCATGGGTAGGCTAGAGACCATTAAACGCGGGCTCTAATCTCGACCCAGTTATTGTTTTAGGACTAATGGCATTGTATCCAGTGCTCGTGGGTTTACCAAAAGTGGTAACGGTTTAGACCAGCATCGCTTTCCTCTCAATATGAAATGCTGGGATACAGTTGAAACAGCATTAATCAATACTTACGCACTGACTGATTCACTCACTCACTCATTCACTCATCCACCAACTGACTGATTCACTCACTCACTCATTCACTGATCCACCAACTGACTGATCCACTCATTCAATAACGGATTCACTCACATTACTTTCTACATACATGTAGATATCACTTTTTATCATCTAATGGAGGGTGTAATCTGTGCAATAAAGCAATCCGATCAACTTGGTATCCAAATCTGATAACTATGCAAATTACGTCAATCTACTAACTACTTTCTCAAAACTCCATACATGCCATGCGAATCCTAAAACGTTAACATTTCATTGATGACGTCGTCGCGAGTTTACGTTGCGTGGACGAGTTTGTAAACAAACATGGCTGCCCCCATTATCAAAATTGGTGATTCTGTAAGAATTGATGACAGAGGTTCTGGAGTCGTTACTGCAGTAATTGACTTTGAAAAACATGAAACGGAGAACTTCGTTCAAATTGAAAATACGGATACTGAGGCACGGGTGACAGGCTGTCGTCTTAGAAAGGTACCAACCAAGGATTTCGATCTATCAATCACAACAAAGAAGACTACGAATCGATTCCGTCAGGTATCAGAAACTGATATTGATGAAGTGACTACCCGCAGTGAAAATAGAAACACTACCAAAAAAACCCTGCCCGATTTTGTTGTTCTTTTTAGACAGAAAGATCGTATTATAAGCGTTATGTATCTTAGTTTAAGAGTTAGGTTTGCACTGTGTTAGCGATTAGCCACAACCATATGGCGCCGACATGAACGACCTTCACCTTGGTGTACCGCTAAGTATTCTTACGCGAATGCTCGATTCTCTTCATATATAAATTCGCGTACGATTTGCTTATTTGCGAGTTATTTTAAGAATGACATTATATAAAGAGATTATTAAGCTCGTGTTTTTCTGTATCGTTAATATCATATATTATGAATAAAAAAATATGTATTATACTCGCCAAAGGCTCGATACGGAAACACACTCGGTTAATAATCTCTATATCTTACATGCATGTGTAACTCTTCGAGTCTTTCTTTGCAGCTGGAACTCTTCTGCCGGTTAAGGTGCAGAAGATGGTTGTAAGATCTGCAAGAGAAGTCAGATGTCTGATTCTACTTTAGCCTATGGTGCTTAAAGATTCCATACCTCTCCTCTGATTGTATGAACTCATCACACGTCTGAACTTTGAACACCGATGACTCACACAATGAAGTCATGTCCTGGCCTGAATGGTCCCGTCAGATCGTCCCCCATATCAGATCCACATCTTGTTCAGATGAAGAAGACATCAGTGACATATTTGCTAGCAATCTTCCTTGGGTTGTTCGGAGTCCATCACTTCTACCTTGGAAGGCCCAAATTTGGTAGACTGTATCTGTGTACCGCCGGGCTGCTGGGGCTGGGCTATGTGGTGGATCTCATTCGTGTTCCTTGGCTGGTCGAAAACGCCAATCTTGAAATTCGGCATCCAGAGCGACGAGGGATGAAATATCTCGGAGATGCTTATCTGCTTTGGTTTCCACCTTTTGGCTTACTAGGTAAGGCTGTATTATGATACATATGCATCGCTTTACTGAATGTCACAGGGACAGATGTGTGTCCTTCCTCTTCAACCCTCACTTTGAAGTCAAATAGAAGTCAAAATAAACCACGCACACACATACACTGCACAGTTTCGAATTCTGAAGGAAGTGTCCTGTTTCTTGATACCGTCCACTCTTATCTTCGACAAAGCTTAAGTGCATAAATAACCTTTCAAATGGGCTTCATCGCAAATGTCACCATTTTTGACACATTACAAAATCACGATTCAAAGCGTTATTTGGTGTATGGTTTGTAATGTAAAAATCGGATAATTACTTGGAGTATTAAAATATGGAGTAGCACATGAGTGATCACTGATATCAGTTTTTCATCAAATCACTGATGATTTGAATTCTGAAACGTTGCCGAAGAAGCTAGAATCGGTTGTGATGTTTCCGAAAATACCCTAACACAAACGCCGAAGTGCACTTTCCGCCATATTGAATAGTGCCTACAAAATCCCGTTTTGCGAAGGCCGATATTGAGACGCCTACTACATCAGGTATATTTCATATTCAGCTATGACAAATGCATCACCGAATTCCTTATAATTCCTTATACATGTTAGAATCAAATTACAAATGGTCTTTGTCACTATATAATACCAACTGTCCAGATGAAATGAAGCCAAGAATTAATGGGTGTGAAAACGAACGCTGTGCTCGAAAGACTGCGCTTATTTGAGGTGTAAACAAAGAAAAATTCCGATTTTACCCTGCGTAGCATTTTCTCGAAATTTCCGACATCCATTCGTCTATTCGTTACTTGCCTTGGCTCAATACTTTTAGAATATGCATGGAAAGAGAATCGTAGTAAAAAATAGGAAATTGAAAATAGATACACCACAATGATTTGATAAATTCATACGAAATTGTCAAAGTTTCCGTTCAGCGTAACTCCATGAATGACGCAACATCACGCGGAACGACTCTTACAATGTAAACGAAAAAAGAACAACACACAGTTAGTCAGAATCATTCTGACCACTTAGTAAATACTTTGTATCACATATTTATGATATTTATGTTCAAAGTCATGAAAAGGATCCTGGCAAAATATTGCGTACCCATGTCAGCGAAGCCGCCATTTTGTGTGAAATCGGTCATCGGTAGTGATGGCATACGTCAACATTGTTGTACATATTTGCCAATTTGTTTGAGATGAAGGTCGGTTGAATAAGCGATTTACTTTAACCTTAAAACTGACAATATCAATGACTATGATTTACATATTTTATGAAATGCATACATCTTTAAAGGATATTGTCTTGTTAAATGAATTTGTTTGTGTCGTTTTACGGACAAAACAATGATGGCAAGGTGCGCGTTTGTCACGCACGTTTTACGATTCACAATGATTGTTTTCGATTTTGAGATGGCAGGATATCAAACTGTAACTATATTTTTTCGAAATTTGTTTTAGAAAATATAAACCATGTCATGTCTTAATTTCGACAAACCTTACGTCAGTATCCTGATAGTTCCATACACAAAGCGCCATCTTTTTGCATCTTTCATTGTGTACTTATGAAGATAAATAGCCACATAATCATAAACAAAGACCATTCTTTTCCTAAAAACTATATTCGGGTGTTGTGAAATATTCTTATATTCTTTTTCATTTACGTTAACCTGATGCCAAACATGCGCGTGTTGATCACCCTGAAGATACTCAGCGAAACTGTTTAATTGTTGATCTGTCCAGGATATTATTTTCTAAAATCAGTCATTTTATGTTTTGTCGACAGAGCGGTAAATTCTGACATAGAAACCGAGAATTTTTATATAATTATTGGACATTAGGGGAGATATATACTAATCAGCGTCTTTTTCCGACGTATTTTCCGAAAATACATAAAATAAGCCATGAACTCAACTAAAACGTATTTTTTCAGTAATTTTATTACATTTGAAGATATTATGGCGAGTACTCTGTAAATAATGGTACAAAATTAGTCAAAACACAAACAGGAGAACATAGGAATCTAAGAACTAACTTACATGTTGGATAATGCGATTCAAATCGCTGTTATGTGCTTCCTCATGCAATACGATGCCATCGTTTCTTATAAACTGTGATACTACCAAAACGTATAGGGTCACATTGGGGATCTTTGTATTGGAATACTTTGGTTCACCGTGAATGAAACATCACGAATATATAGCGTCCGTATTCACAGCAAATGACCTCCCAGTGATCTGAATTACTATAACAAAGTGTTAAGCATAGCGGAGTTATGCCCCCTTATCTTTATACGTGTGCGACCTCTCTGTCGTCGTTTGACGTCATAGAGGAAAATTCATTTTCGACATTATTGCGAGTCATTGTTAAGACTGAGCGTACAACGTTATATAGGCTCTCAAACCCATTTCATGTATACTTATGCCGTTCAGATCTCAGGCAGTATTTTGTTCGCTCACACTTTCCGCAAAGATGCCAAATTAAAATAGAAATTGTCGCACAGAACTTTTGTCGGTGCACGATAAAAAGCGGAGAAATGTACTGTTTTTTTTAACGCATAACAAAAATTCATACAACATTTAGCAGTGTCTATTTTTCAAACCTCAGAAGTATTTGCACTTGAATCTATACCATCAGATAGGAAATTTAATATTCTACATTTCTGTGTAAGTTTATAGCCGCACGTAGATCCAAGACCACGCGAGCGCATCTCGCACAACGTTCACTTTTCAAACCTTATGAAAACAAGAACACTAACTCATCATCCAGGGGGATCATCACACAAAGTAAGGATATCAACACTGCAACTGCTAGTAACGGGATCTTCTTTCTGGTACATAGTGGAAATATACGTGAATAACGACGCAAAACTGGTCCCACGAGGTGAAAGGTCTTTCAGCTATTCCCATATGCGTATAGACGGAACCCAGTCGTATGGTCATGGGAAAGGCTACGAGTAGCTATTGAGAAATGCGAGTAGCTATTGGGTTTGGTTCCTAACACCAGCTGGTTCCTGAAACAACTTTGGTAATTCCTTTGGGTTACTGTTCATAGGCTTTCATCATTTCTACCTTGGGCATTTCTACACTGGCGTGTGTTACGCGCTCACGGTGGGAGCTCTGGGCATCTGCTGGCTTCTCGATGTCATCCTGTTACCAGTTTTATGGATACGATGGGTCAACGAACTCAACGGGTGAGTACACACTGGCATGTCCTGCTGCTGATGAGCAGAGTGAGTGAGTTTAATTTTACGCCTCTTTTAGCAATATTCCAGCAATATCATCAGCAATGGGCTTCACACATTGAACCCATGTTGGGAATCGAACCCGGGTCTTCGGCGTGACGAGCGAACGCTTTAACCACCAGCTAGGCTACCCCACCGCCCTTATGATGATCAGAAGAAGATCAGATCACTTACTCACTCACTCTGATACCCCTTTTTCCGCATCTGATTGTCAGGGAAAGGTTATTCTGAATTGAAGAGTTCAATTTCATCAAACCTATCATAGTGTCAACTGCCAACCTTCTCAAACCAAAGTACCAGATATCAGAGATAAGTCGACCGTTTGTCATACAAACCTTTCTGTTTCCCGATCATAATTATACTATACATTTGCAGTCACTGCGCTGAGATGGAACGCTGGTGTAAGAACTTACCTGAAGACACCACAGAAGCTGGTCTGTCCACGCCGCCAGTGATGACAGCACCACCTCCCTATACGTATCTTCTGGAGCCATGTTCAGGTCTGTATCATCTATATAATGCAATCAGACAGGATATAACAATAGTCGGAACAAAGAAATTTCCTATCACAAAATAACTTTGCTTTTTCTATTGCTAACGAAATAACAAAATGTATCTGTTTAAAATTTTCCGCATTCTATGAAGCAGACTATGCGTTGAGTTTAGCGAACCGAGTTGTGTCCTAATGGGCAAAACAACCAAGGATCTTTTTTGCTGAAGAATTATTTGCAATGTAACCAAGTTTTGAGGAAAATATGCTCGGAAAAATATCTGTATCTTATAACCTGCCCAGTTGTCCGTACTGAGATGTACCTGTCCATGGTATGGCAACTTTTCCACGACACGTGAAATGTCATCTCATGATCACCTACAGATAGGGTATACTTAGGGCAAATCTATTACTTTAAATATTTGACAAAACAGGACAAAACGTCCTTTACAGATATCTATGAGAACAGTCTTGATAATAGTCTCTCGTACAGACCCTGAAGCAAATATATCCAAGAAAGCCCACGCAAGTCTAGAAAATGTGGCAAGTCTAGATTTCCACAGCTTCAGCTTCTGAAAATGAAGAAAGTCTTAGGGCTCCTTTTCATTATATATATATTTTTTTACTATGAACTTTTTTCAGTAAAATATGTTCATTTCAGAGACTAGAGTCCTGTTAACAATAGTCTGTTTGCAGTGAAAACGTACCGATGAATTTCACTTTAAACAAAAAAGTAAATCGAATAAAGTGAAAATAAGATTGTGAATCCTCATAATTTTACCTTGCCAATTGAACATTTAAATCTCAGAATTTTATTCAACTTAGGATAAAAGTTGTTTAACAAACGATCATGGTTTCAAACCGCTATTATTGGTTTGTATTACAAGGGGGGATGCACATTAGATGAAACACCTAGAACAAGTATGGTTGGTATAAGTTAACGCTCATCACGTACCGCACGTGCATTTGTTTCACTGTTCCATGTACTGCGCTCACCCCCTTGTAATACAAACCAATAATAGCGATTTGAATCTATGATCGTTTGTTAAACATCTTTTATCCTAAGATGAATAAAATTCTGAGATTTAAATGTTCAATTGGCAAGGTAAAATAAAGAGAATTCGCAATCTTAATGTCACTTTATTTGATTTACTTTTTTGTTTAAAGCTAAATTCATCGGTACCGTTTTCACTGCAAACAGACTATATACACTGTGCAATTACCCATAAGGTAGCTGTATCGTGAATCGTGTTTGTCATTTCCAGATACCACCAGTCCGCCGTCGTATGACGAGGTGATGCTGGCGGACGCTACTGAGAAGAACGAGGAACCGTATCTAGCCACATAGATCACTGTTTCTTACTGTCCTTGTGGGAAATGACCATCCTTGGTAACAAGATGAGTCTGCCATCTCAGTGTGGGTCCCAGACAACTGTTCTGTGATATTGCCGAGTATAAATGTCCCATTACCAGTGATACAGTAGTGTCAGTGTGTAGTTGAATGGCACGTGTTATGTTTCTGTGTCCGGTCACTGGTCAGTTGGTCTTCATATCAGCAGACAGTCACCATTCACTCACGAATATATCGGCACACTAAACGGTTCTGTTGTTCCGGGTTGGCAACATCATATAAATTCGAGTTCATCAAGTGAACCTTGTACTGAATAAAATAGACATGGTATTTTATGACTGCTTCGATATTTCAGTTTCCAGTGGTTGGCTCTTGTTTCATGTGATACAGTTTAGGAGTGCTTCAATTCCTATCTTTTAACATGTCAACACTTGGATTTGGTTTCTCATTTGACACCTAATTCAGCAATATATTACAACTATATGACGATGGTCTGTAAATAATGGAGTCTGGACCAGGTACGTCAAGTGACGCGCAACAAGCTTTTCAAAAACACACTCTCAGTCGACTCTATATTCAATCACATTTAGAACATATTCTCTATGGCAGCAATAATATTTGTTCAGCATGGATCGTAGGCGATACTCTAGTGGTGCAATGTGGTAAAATATAGGCCGGGTTTTGTATGACTGTCCTACACTGTTGTTTGGTGTCTCCTTGGTTACTCCAGTAGTCCATAACTATACCGACACGGAAACATTGGCAAAGTAATGAACTAAAGAACCGTTCAAGATCTGAACGTCAGTATTCAAAGAGCGAGACAGGCAGCAGCCCCAATGCCACAAGTACCTGTGTCAAAGACTTTTGTCATGATTGAGAGATGGATTCCGGTCAGCAAACTTGAGGTTTTGGAGGGTTATCAAGCATCCTATGCTGTGATATCAATATAACAAGGACATATTGTATGTCGAGGCTCGGCTGGAATCTGATGATATGGAAGAGCAGTTTCTTACGGGACAAATCTATCACAGAGAGTCGTATTCCGAACCTGCGACACAGGAATACACACACGCACCCAGAGACATTCTTCTCACAATATTGGTTGAGTCATGAAGTGTGATAGTCTTAGAATGCTACCCGGGCCTGGTCAAGATCCTGGAACAGGTCGTTGGGCCACTATTTGATAAGCACTACATGGCTAACACAAGCGTCTGCATGGACATGTTGCCACATGAGGTCCGACAGGTAGGAAGGTCGCCTACTATACCGTTCCTTTATTCATCATGATTGCAGATCTCAACATGCTGGAATAGTCTTGTGATATCCAAGGATCAGGAACCGAACCAATTCCACTTTCCCAGAATCACGAAATATCATTATTGATAATAAAGAAATATATCCGTGTTCTAATTATTAACAGCAATAAGGAATATTGACAACCGTGATGACATGAATTCCAACGCGGTGTTTTTCAAGAAATATATGTTTGGCTATCGATAAAAAGCACAAACAGAACGAAGATAGTGTTTACAGGGCTATTGACACGCCGCTTGATATAGCGGTAAGATGACTCTCAAGCCTTATCCGGGTTGTAGCCTTGGAGTGAGTGATCTGATCTTTTTCTGATCATCATAAGGGCGGTGGGGTGTCCTTGATGTAAACTCAACTATGTTCTTTTCCTATTATTTCGTCCCAGGATATAGTCTGGTTCACCGTGAATAAAACATCACGAAAATATAGTGTTTGTATTCACAGCAAATGGTCTCGACATGACTCTTCTAGCTTATACTGCGCTACGTCGTCGAAACGCTGAAATAATAGCAGCTTGGAACCTTCCTTCTGTACAGTCAGTACCCATAGCCGATTCCCAAATAGGCACACTGTGTGCATTGTGAGTACTCCCCTTGAACAATAAATCACAAAGTGACGCCAATCCAGACACCAAGTCAGTACTAAGTTCACAAAAATCAAGATAAGCGCACGTAAAACTACATAGATCAGCATGATTTCCGAGAAGGGCTAAATAACACCCACAGTTTCAACAGCACCAGTGCCTCTATGAACGGCGATAAGCTTAACATATTTAGCTGATGTATAGAAGTACACCTACGTCACAATCTTTGATGCCTTGCCTGTAAAAGCTTACTTTCATTAAGAGCATCAAAAGGCTTGATTCAGACATTCAAAAAACAATAGAATGACTTTGCTCTACTTGTTCACACTCTGATATGCAATGACTAAAGACAATACCGACAAGAAGGCGCCGACAAAAGGCCACAACTACCTTCAGAACCACTTGGAGAACAGCTATGTTATTTCAACAAATTCAGAATCCGATATGGAAATGTTAGAACGTAAAGCGGTTTGTCAACACCCAAATGTACCAACACAACAATCTCCTCAAACAAAAGTATCAATACCTTGCGTAAACACGACTAAATATTTCATAAGAGGATTATATGAGTGTAGCATATGGTGAGTGAATAAGTGAGTGAGTTTAGTTTTACGCCGCTCTCAGCAATATTCCGGCTTGATGGCGGCGGTCTGTAATTAATCGAGTCTGGACCAGACAATCCAGTGATCAACAACATGAGCATCGATCTGCGCAGTTAGGATACGATGAGATGTGTCAACCATGTCAGCGAGCCTGACCACCCGATCCCGTTAGTCGCCTCTTACGACAAGCATGGGTTACTGAAGATCAATATTCTAACCCGGATCTTCACGGGTAGTGCAGCACATGGTGAGTCGCTTGTACGAGATGCAGGCGGGTAGAATTGACGCCTTGTTGGCTGTAGTGTAGATGTGTTGGATTTGAAGCATTTGCAAAATTAGGCACACCTACTTATTCGATATTACACAAAGACAGTGATGAATATGGTACAGGGAGGGATTAATGGATGTCATTTTAGTGGGGAGTAGCGCTTACGACAGCAGGAGGCAATTGTCTGAAGCACTTGGTGTCACAGGCGGTGCCGATGGAACTACTAACGTTTACTCAAGTACTTGCACACACTCCATATTGTTACAATATCAGATATAATCATACCACCATATCACAATGTTGGACGGCATTATTGGCCTCGTGGTGAATTGATGTGGTTACCTTATATGACACACATTTTCATATATAAAACATCGGGTCTATCCATATGTAGCGGTCATGATATGTTCCAGTCCACATGACCTTGAGCTGGCTGACACGGTAAGAATGTCATGGACGAGATCACACCCGTCAACTTACTCCCCCGTCAACAGAAGACACGCCCCGGGCATTGAATTAGATGTACCCCCTCGTGTATGCCCATCTGCTAATTTATTGCCACCACATGTACACTACGATTTGGATGAAAATCGCCCTTCGGTGAGATCTATATTTTTGCAACAGTCAGCAATATTGCATTTTTATTACACACGTGGTGGAGAATCATGCTATCGGATCCTAAATCGTACGATAAGATATAATATACATTTATTGATTTTGATTTTAGGTCAATTAATCAATTACTTGCAACTTGCTTTAACTGTATTAGTACACAATTACGAGATCTATCTTCTGAGCTATTATGATTATCTGTTTCGCGACGAGACTCGTGAAGGTCAGGGTTAGAATGAACCTTCAGTAACTCATGCCTGTCGTAAGAGGCGACTAACGGGATCGGGTGGTCAGGCTCGCTGACCTTGTTGACACGTGTCATCGGTTCCCAATTGCGCAGATCGATGCTCATGCTGTTGATCACTGGATTGTCTGGTCCAGACTCGATTATTTACAGACCGCCGCAATATATAGCTGGAATATTGCTGAGAGCTGCTCACTTTTAACAAAACTCACCCACTCACTCATTTCGCGATTACCTCTGCTTACACTTTGGATGACATTTTACTTGCAGACTTGTAGCTGAAACCTTCCCCTATCTGCCATTCCGTACCTGAAACTAAGAAGCAATCTTGATAGTGGAAGGAATGTGCCCCCTCCTGCTGTGTCATGTAGAGTTATGTGGCCGCGGCATATGATCGAAGCAAACATGACCAACTTTATGGGATGGGAAAGTTTCTAGAAGATTGGCGGTACCTCAGAATGAAAGCGTGGATAGGGTGATTCACAGCGCTGACCACCTGACTTGTGGTGTGTTTGCGTTTTACATCGAACTTTCCTCAACTTCCAACACAATACAAGAACACGAACACAAAGATCCAGGTTAGAATTGATCTTCAGTAACCCATGCTAGTCTTAAGAGGCAAATAACGGGGTGTGGCGTCCGGCTCGCCGACTTAGTTGACACGTGGCATCGTATCGATTATTTACTGATGGCTGCCATATAGCTGGAATATTGCTGGAATATTGCTGAATGCGGCAAAAATACATTCAATAACACATATAATGACTCAACTATAATGACTCAATTGGTTTAGGAAGTAAACATTTTAGTTAATAATATTTCCACAATGTTACCATTTCATATTGCACTAGTATTCTGCAACATTAATTAGTAGTAATGGATAAAAGGTTTATTTCTATTTCATAGTTTTTTTGGAATGCCACATTTCATTATTTAAGAAGTGCTCAGTTTATGTCAACCTTAAGATGAGGGGAGATAATTTCTTGGGGGCAGAATGACCATTTGGTTTGTGCTGCAAGCACATGTGACACAGGCAGGACTCATGAGGGTCTTAAGTAATGGTAAGCCAAATGTTATTCACTTATCAATCTAATGTTTGAAACTTAGACTCAAGAATAAATGAAGAAACAAGAATTCTAATTTGTTATCAACAACACAAGTTATGCTGTTTGAAGATATTTGACAGTGAAACATTACAGGCAAAATTATATTATAGGACCTGTAGTTACGTATGTGACTGCTAACTTATAACTTCGAGTTTCAAGATAATCTACTTTTACTTACAGATCATATGCGGTCATTCACCGATTTTCCAATTCGGTTATCTTTATTTAACTTAGACATTTACTCGCAACTGTAGCAATGCTTACAATGGATAACAATGTTTCGACATATAACGATTGTAGGTAATCCGACATGCTGGTGATTTCAGTTTTGCTGTGGACGAATAGCTGTCCAAAGTGTCTCTGAAGGAACGACTACGTTTGGTATTGAGATTCCTAATTTTACCGATGGCATGTTAGCACACTACGACTGTATGAAACATGGTTGTACTGGTTCGGTTATCTTTCTTGCTGGAATATTGCTGTCAACGTCAATGCCAATGTTCGTCAATATCTCTCCCACTCGTAATTATCATTTTCGGAACTTTTTAATTTCCTTAAAATAACAACAAAGGCACGTCTGATTTCTATATCATGTTTTGAAACCTACTTTCATGAGAAATGCGATTTGTCAACATTTTCAGTCCGAGCCTTTCAGACTGGGAAAACAAATTTGTGCGTGTTTTCCCTTGTCAGAAAAAAGAATTTAAACATCTCATCCTCACGGAAATAAAGACTGCAGAGTCTGGAAATTAGGATTCCTTGTAATGGGTATGTAAAAGATCATGGCATCATGACAGCACTTCAGCTTCTGTTTCGCTCTTAATGGCGTATCTTTCAAGCTACATTTGTTTCATTCCCGACATGTCTGTCTGCCATAGCAGAGAGAGGTTACACAATACACACAGGGAGCCTGACCAGTCGCCTCTTACGACAATCATCTGCTACTGAAGATCAATTCTAAACCGGATCTTCAGTCCCTTAGGGATGTAACATGGATACTGACACTAGTAAGGATTCAGGAATTTTCTCCTGTTCTTCCTGGGATATAACATCAATGCTACAACTTGGTTTGCATGATGAACAAACACTAGCCAAGGATAACTAAGATATTTGTGTGGCTGTTTCTGTTTTATGCCTTGTTGAAGTATGGTTGACAACACCTGTATACTCAGCTCGGGCCCGAGACCACACTTCAGCAAAGGTCAAGACTCTTCATCCCGATTGCGGTCCATTTGTCACCACCAAACGTTGTGACGGAACATATTTGCCAATACATAGGTTGATAGTGTCCACAATCAACAACGTTAAACCTTGGTGCTGTTACATCCTTCTCTGGAAGATACTTAGCTACCATTGTCACTTGTAGATGCCCAGCCTATTCAAAGGCCCACTTCTCAAAGGTCACACACGTTCTTGTTGGCTGTCTTTTTTATGCCCCAGAAAGTCCTATTTCACCACAATTGAACTACCTTATAAGCCGACTGTTAATCACCCATGAGGATGCTTCCCCACTCCACAGGTCGTGAACAGAAGAGCAGTTTTGAACAGTTGTCACATTTCTGTATGAACCTCAGCTGTCAACAACACGGGGATGGTGTTACACAACCATTGACTTTTCGGGGTCATTTATTTAACGATATTTGGAATATTCATTCAGTTAAAGAGAATCCTTATCTCAACGTAATTCAAATAAATCAGCATTATATAATTGGTTGAGGTACTTAAATTTTAGCTCACCTGACCACCGTTTGTTTGAATCCCATTGATGGCTGCCATGGCCTCTGAGTTGTAAGGGGAGCGGTGGGGTAGCCTAGAGGTTACAGACCCCGGGTTCGATTCCCCACACGGGTACAATAGGCAAAGGCCATTCCTGGTGTCCCCCGCCATGATATTGCTGGACTACTGCTAAAAGCGGCGTAAAACCATACTTACTCACTCACTTACTCTTCACGCTGAAGACCTGGATTCGATTCCCCACATGGGTACAATGTGTGAAGCTCATTCCTGGTGTCCCCCGTCGTGATGTTGGTGGAATATTGCTAAAATCAATACTCACTCACTCACTCAGTTGTAAACATACACCAAGTTGAAAGGAGAAAGAACGGATCGACACATACGTTCTCTTTCAGACATGCTACATGTCTCCCAAAATGTATACCCTGTAACCTTCACTTCGCAACAAAGACGTTCGAATCCGATGGTCGCCCTGAAGGTCATATTGAAAGAACAATGAACAAGCATCAAACTGGGATATAGAGCAAGGTCTTGTTGGCTTGTTAGTATATGGCAGGTTTCCGTGTTAGACTGTGGCATGGTACCTCGGCGGCCTGCAGGCACGCACGCAAACACACATCCAAGTGCAATAACCAGGAGGGCATGTAATTTGAAGGTCATTTCACCTCGTCACACACAATGCACGACATTCCCTGCACAGTGGTCCGCCCTTGAGGATGCAGGACGACTGGTTATTGTCGTAAATGTTAACCTCGAGTTGCTGACGCCTATTTGTCTAAACATGTGTCCAGGGTTTTGGGGGTGGGCTGACAAGGGGGTAATAGTAATAATGATAAGAACATTTCTTATGCGCTGAGTTTCGCTCCACGGAGGGGCACGCTCCTAGCGCTATACAATCTGATTTTTATTACCCCGGTTAAACCAGTGAGGCGCTAGAAGGTTAATAGTCACATGGCTGCAATCTTTTTTTTTATTCCTGTACTCAATAAGCCTCATCTTCTTCTCTTATAGTTACATGATTTATCACATCAGGTACCCATCGGGAACAAACTCACTTGCCTAATGTGAGACCACATGTATTACATGTGCTTCGTTGTGGGGCAGGACTGAAGTCCTAGAAACTCTCAGGAGCCAAGCTGCCAAACACGATCACCCATCCAAGGACTCTCCGCGCCCAACGTTGCTTAACTTCAACTGATTTGTGACCTGAGCTCTGTGCACAGGACAACACACCACCAACAGTGTAAACCAACCAATAACGGAAACAATAATTACCACTATTACTGTTGCAGGTCATATATTTATGCCTTCGTATATAATGCGCCTTCGTATACTAGTATTCTACGACTTCCAGCTAGACAGTCCACAGCCCACTATCCCGACACAGTGGCGATGACCGTGGGGAACGGCATCAAAGGGGTTTAACTACACACTCGATCGTCGTTCATCCTCATGATGTTAAGCCCATTTCTGGTGTCCCCCGCTGTGATATTGCTGGAATATTGCTAAAAGCGGCGTAAAACTTTACTCAGTCAGTCAGTCATGATATTTCAGGAATGGTATTGCCGGATAAACGAAAGGTGCACATACGATATCAATGTACGAGATAGGCCCGTCCGACCGCCCGAGACGGGCTACATTTCTGGCGGACGGTCTTGATTTACAGCTTGCAAGCCCGATGGTCTCGTAAAAGTTTCAGACACAATTTTAGTCGGATTTCTTTGAAAATGACTGTTGTGAATAGACTGTTAGACAATTAATACACGCCTCTGGTTCATTAAATTATTTATTTTTAACTAAAAATTGAGTTCTTTTCTTTAGATTGTCTGACCTGGTTAAATCCATTTTGGGTTCATAACATGTTGAAGTTACCAGCCCTGATGTCTGGCTGGGTTTTTGGCTTATTTCCTACATTATGACACCCTGAATTGTGATGTTTTGCCGACTATTGTGATATACATGTAACTCAGATCACATTCACTCAGTTACAACAATATAACCATGGAACCATACCAACAAAGATCGCAAGTTATCCTTTATTGTAAAATCTTTTCAGGACCCTGTAAGATTGGCATTCGCCGCACAAGTGATCAAAGCAAAACATCTGGAGGTTGGGTTTGCAAAGATCATCGCAGATTTCGCTGCAGAAACGGTTTTCTGTAGTTGTTGTTGTTGCAACCGTTGTCGTGGTTCTGCGTGGTCGGCGGGTGGTAGTTCTGCGTGGTCGGCGGGTGGTAGTTTTAGGTGGTGGTCGGGTAGTAGTGGTAGTTGTAGTGGTAGTGGTACGTTTCGTCGTCGTTGCCGAACTCTTGTCGATTTTCTTCCATGGTGGAATCCGCTCTGCTCCGCTTCTTGTGATCATGACGTCAGCGCAAGAGAAGAAGTGCTCCTGGATTGACCCACATCCGGTACAACACCTTTCTTTCCCATGTACGTCTTCCTCACATCCCCAGCTGTTTCCTGGAATTGAAAACAAATATTGTTATTTTGTGTTTTGGAACTCAAATTAAACTTTTAATATTCTTTTTTTTGTACAAGCTGTTTCTTTCAAGCAAATACAAATATATCCAGGCATCCCCACCTGTCCGACAATATCAACTTGTTGACCAACGGGAAGCCTAGGATTGAAAATGAAATCGATGAAACCTCACACACAAACGACCACCATCCACCATCGGGGCAGCAATCAAGTTGTTATGGTTAGTTTAATTTGCCCGGCATGATAGAAACACAGGTTCCATGTCCGAAACGGGAACGACATGTGTAACCTATTTAGCTGGAATATGTCAAGAGCGGTGAACACTTTCTTCATAGCATGTACCTTATTCACAACCTACCCGTGAAGACCCGGGTTAGAACAGATCTTCAGTAACCCATGCTTCTCGTAAGAGTCGATTAACGGGATCGGGTGGTCAGGTTCCTGACTTGGTTGACACAGGTCATCGTGCCCCATTGGCGTAGATCGATGCTCATGCTGTTCACCACTGGCTTGTCTGGTCCAGATTCGATTATTTACAGACCGCCGCCATATAGCTGGAATATTGCTGAGAGCGGCGTAAAATTAAACTCACTCACTCACTTTTCACACATCTCATAAGCGTCAGTGTAAAATATCATAGCAATACCTGTCACATATTTCCATCGAAGCACACAGTTGAAACAGGTCATCCTCTCCGGTATCTGGAGTCGAACCCGGAAGGTATCAGCGTCCCAGTTGGGCAGCTCGAAGTGGTCCTTGCCATTATCCGCGTTCATCAAGGGTTGGAAGCATTCTTCTGTTTCGTGTTTCTTCGCATTATTGGTTGGGCATATGTCAAAGAAGAATGAACCAAAGTGGTTTGCGGTCAGCACAACAGCTACGTCGATGACTTCGCCACTAGCGTACTGAGCGACGATGTTCCCAGTAGAATAATAACCCCCTCTTTCATTATCACGGGGTACATCTTGGGCGTAGTTGTCTCCACATACACCACACTTGCCGTCATTCTGGTGAAACTGGACCTGAAGCAAACACGAGACAAGCTTGCACTGTCAGTTCAGGTCGTATCACACATCGGGTAAAGGATTACTATGATCACGATGATCACATTGGGCCAGCCCAGGTTTCTGTAGTGCGATTCTTTAGTCGCTGTGGCTGAGCGGGTTAGGTGGCTGACTTTGTGTGCTGGCGATTAGGTGCCGGACTCTGAGGGTGTGGGTTCGAATCCCGCATGGGACTCAACCAAACAAAACTACTAGAATCTGTACTTTACTAAGGAAGTGTAATCCCAAATATAACATGTTACATTTTTTAAAAATACTTTTTTCTTTAACATTTGGAATTGTGACAGAAACAGGAACTTGTTTGTGTTTTTTCTTCATCTAAAGTCAGGAATTGAATCTCTTGTCTGAAGCTATTTTGCAAAGAATGTGATAGTCGGTGCTTACTTTTAGAAGAACCAAAATCCCCAAACCCGACAATTATTAAACTTCAGAAGTTCAGTTCATACCCGAACCTTACATCGACAGGCAAATAGAGGTAATTGAACGTTAAAACTCACTCAGCGTACCGTTACAACCGTCTCTACCAGTTCCGAAAACCGGCAGCTGTGGATATATTATTGCACTTATTGATTTACATATAATTACCCGTTAGCAGTGTGCTTCGTACAGACTATACTCGCAGAGAGAAAATCCGTGTACCATTACGTACCCCAAATCCACCGCAGTAGTTTGCATTGTCGTCATAGTTGACGTGGAAGTAGTCGGTGCCGTTGAATCTCCAGGCTGAGGATCTACCTGGAGGGATCAGCATGTACCCGTGACCTTCTACATGGCTTGGCGTCATCCCCAGCAGCAGCCCCGTCATGGCCAGCGTCAACATTGTCAGGGAGGTCATGGTGATATGCTGCAAGAATGGATAAGTGTCGAGTCGAGTGAGTATAAGTTTTACGCCGCTTTTAGCACTATTCCAGCAATATCACGGCGGGGGACACCAGAAATGGGCTTCACACATTGTACCCATGTGGGGAATGGAACCCGGGTCTTCGGCGTGACGACCGGACGCTTTAACCACTAGGCTACCCAACACATCCCTAGCACAGGGGTGGTCGTGTGGAGACACGTTTATTCGTAATGTGTAATATGCGATCTGTATACCTAAAAGACGACATTGAAGCGGAAAGGGAGGAAGTGAAATAGACGTTAGGTTACAAGATGGGTATAATTCTATGTAGAACGACTATGTAGTTATTATTCGGTATCAATTTGTTGTGGTATCAATTGTGGATTTTTGTTTCCTATCAAACCACTGTGAAATGTATTCACTACTTACACGATTCAAGTTAAGTTTCCCATCTGACACATAATGGATCAAGACTGTAAGTTGTAGACAAACTTACAGTAGTCTATAAGAGGTAAACGGTCACACGCCAAATCCACACCGACAGCATGCTCATAGCTCAGACATACTATTACCCCGGATAACCCAAGCTGCTTATGATTCGCTGAAAGGTTAATAGCCACATGACTAATCCCACCGGGTACCCATTTACTGGTGGACTTTCCGCGCTCAACGTTGCTGAACTTCAACTGTTTTGTGACTGAGCTCTATGCACAGGACCACACACACCGTACTTTTGGTGAGGTGAGGTGAGATGAAAAGTACGTCCTATTTGAGAATAGTTCGTTCACATGACGACGTGCATGTGGATGTATGTGTGGCTGCTTGTACTAGCCCAGACTTAAGCCGGTTTTATAGTGCTAGCCCACTGAGATACCATGCCGCAGTTGTGCACGGATACCCTACTCAGGCACATTATACTGACTCCAAGCCGACCAGTCCTTGTTGTACCCATTAATGCCGAGCGCCAGGCAGGGACCTACAAGTACCATATTTTAACGTCTTTTGGTATGACGCAGTCGGGGATCGAACCCAGGACCCACCGCTCTCCGGCCGGCCCTACTTATGGTGATTGTTTACGGGACAAGTTGCACGTACAGTTTAACCCTAAGGTACCTGCTTAAAAATGATCGTGAAGCGGAACACAGTGCAAGGAGGAAAGTCATTTTTGGTCGTAATCTATAATAAATCTAGTTTAAGTGATAAGGCTGAAATGTTAGCAGAACGTGTAGTTAAATCATGGTGACTATACGTGTCTCCACACGACCACCCAGGTGTGGGGTTGCCTAGTGGTTAAAGCGTCCGGTCGTCACGCTGAAGACCCGGGTTCGAATCCCCACATGGGTACAATGTGTGAAGCCCATTTCTGGTGTCCCCCGCCGTGATATTGCTGGAAGTCCTTAACAAAATTAACACATGTCCATGTTGAAATCCTCGTTACTGTTACTTATGTTGGTGTAACTGATCTTCTTATAGTAATATTCAGAATAATGTACCTGTTTACAGTCAAACTGAACGATTCCATGCTTAACAAAGGCCAACGCCTGTCCAAAGAATATATAACTTGAACTTGGAACTTTCATTTCTTCTCCGTAGCAAATGTATGTAACCAAACTGGGACTAAGTAGGTGGTCCTGGTTCTTTGTTATTCATCACCTATTTGTTCTGTTTCCATCGTCTTTTAAAGAGGGACACTTTCTTCAATTAAAATTCCTTTTAAAAACTCACCACGCGTTTGTTTCAAATCAGTAAAACGCACTTGATTGTACACACGGCAATGTGGTTAATAAATACTTAGATTAATAGAATTGATATTGATGAAATGTTAGTGAAGCCATGATTATTCTGGGATGGCAGTGAACATTATATGCTAGAATATACATGTCTAGACGTAATGACGTATTTCAGTACTCACCAACGTGCTATAAGGTTGAGATCTATCTCTGTCTACCCTTGGTTGCCTGGCTGCTTCTTTGACTACTTGCGTGGCTGGTCTGAGCTCCCCCCTTTTATATACAGCACTGAGATGCTAATACAAACAGTGGTTGAGTCCAGGTAAGACACGGTGTTTTTGTCAAAGTCTACCCCGATAATGTATTCAGTGCTCGACAGAGAACAGTAAATAACCCTGATATCATCCGCCTTGTTAGCGTGTGATGACAGGGCAGCTTGTGGACAATAATCTTCTAGAATGAGTCATTCCCCGACTCAGGGTTGTTTTTGTTCTGTTGTGGTAGGTATTTATCACATATTTTGTACATCGTTTATGTATAGTTATGTCTATTTTGTCAATGTCTATGAGGAAAACTTAAATCCCTCCCTGTTGAACCTGTGAATTAAGAGTAAGAAAAGTAAAGAAAGCGTTGACCGATCTGCCCTATTATGTGATAAGTGTGACACCGTGGCTGTCGATGATGAATTTCATTTTGGGTTGTCCTTACTATAATAGTAGCAGAAATAAATTCATTCCAAAATATTTTCATTGCTATCCTTCCCGGGAAAAACTACAACTTACGTCTTCAACAAATGTTGATATTTTGAAGGGACTTGCATTGTATTTGAAAAGAAATCTCTATGTAAAATGATTCCCATATTTTGCAGTAACATGATTTCATGTGTTATATAAACCGAATTATTATTATCATTGTTAGATGTTGTAGTAAGAATTAATGGAGAACGGGGAGAAGGAAACCCCCCACTTGGGAACTTAGCCTGCTCCAGTGAGACGCCACGGTTCAGTGGTTACAGATATTAGGAGTTCTGGGCTCTCTGCTAATTAAGTGATGTGGGAGAAGGTTAGGCAGGAACATTAGATATCTGACAAACCAAAGACAAATATCAGCTATCATAAAAAGACCATCCAAATGTATTACAAAATACACCAAGAGTTTTGTATACGTGTTTGTTTTATGCCGCAGTCAGTAATAGCCCAAGTATATCACGCTAATTTAAAACAATCCAATCTGGTATAGATAGCCCGGTGATCGATATTATGACCAGCGTCCTAATGTGGCAGGATTCTACAACCGAGTATGATGTATGTAGTCTATTTAGCCCAAGACATATTGGAGACAACAGGTCGTTCCATTCTATCACAGTCACTGAGAAGTACTGCTGCATCACTTAAGGTAGTTGGATATTTATATGACATTGTCTATTCAGTAGACAACTGCACATCCCATGGGGCAGGTTGACAACGTTCAAGTACGCGTCGGCCGAGGTCATCCTACAAATACTCGATGGAGTTGGATCGGGCGATTTGGAAGGCCATGGAAGCAATGTAGTGTTCTCATTCTGAAGATGCTGAATAGTGGCATGTGCTGTGTGTGGCCTGGCATTATCTTGCTGGAACAACTCCCTCTGGCGGTCACCGATCGGAACCATGTGAATACTTAAGAGTTCGTCTCTGTACCACATAGCAGTTAAATTGCCCTGAAAGCACACACAGATAGACTTCTGTGTGTAGGATATGGCTCCCCACATCATGGCACTCTCACCACCATATCAACCTGGGCGACACAATTCTGGGCAAAACATTCATTTTGACGTCGATAGACACGCATTCTTCCGTCACGGCGCTGATGCAGAAAGCGTGTTTCGTCACTTAACCATACACGCCACCAGTTTGGTAGATTCCAGAATCGAACGTCATTGTACCACTGGACCGTCAATTTAGTCGTCGCAACAAAGGGCCAAATGTTGTCTTTTGGCTCGAAGTCCAGCCTTTCGTAAACGATTACGAATGGTTTGCGCTCAAATCATAGACATTGAATTTGCAGTTGCAGTTGCTGTGACAGTTCGATTCCGCAAATGACTCGGAAGTACCCGACGTACCTATCCTGCACTGCAGAGGCAATTCGAGGCGGATCTTGCGTAGAATTATTATTGTTTATATCGATCCCATAAACGACTGATAGTACTCTGGAGAACATTAAGGTGACGTGCAACGGCTGACTGAGACTCCCCAGCCTCCAGACGTCCAATGGCAACGTTTCGATTTACAGCAGTGAGTAGCAGCATAACGATATTCTTTCATTAACTAAAAAATGCCAATTTTGTCTAAAAGCAAAACTAGGCAATGTCCCCTGCTCAGGATTCCTCAGAACTGCACGTATATATTGCGAACCACGTTTTCTCAATAACAGTTTCATGGAAGTTGACACTTTCGAAGGTAAACGTGCATTAACGTTTCCGAAGATGCGTTTTTTGCGCTGTGCATTCGTTCCACTTACACAAGCCAGCATTATGACGGGGAAAGTGTAAAAATAAGAATCATCATATATCAGTATTACCAGTCCCATGCGTTTCTTTTTTTTGGAGTATATTTGAAATTCAGCTGATTCATGGGATTTAGTGCAGACAAAGGGTTTCGTAGATTATGTGAGTAGCACAGAGATATAAAGTGGTGACTGCAAAGAAATATGCAAAATGATAAATATACTAGAGAATCGACGCCGCGCATGGCGGAGAAGATCAAACTGTAGCCGACCTGACAAGGTCCGGGTTAGAGTGAACCTTCAGTAGCCCATGCTTGTCGTAAGAGACGACTAACGGGATCGGGTGGGCAGGCTCGTTGACTTGGCTGGCACGTGTCATCGAATCCCAATTGTGTAGATCGATGCTCATGCTGTTGATCACTAGATTGTCTGGTCCAGACTCGATATTTTACAGACCGCCGCCATATAGCTGGAACATTGCTGAGTGCGGCCTAAAACTGAATTCACTCACTCACTCACTCACCTATCGCCTGTAGAAATCGACCACTAAAACCACTTTCGCCCAACTGCTGACGGTAGCGGACAGTGGTGTTACTTTATTCCACAGTACATCGTTTATAAAGGTAATAACTATTCATATGCTATAGTAATGGAAAATAACCAAACCGCTTTAATTTACACACAACCCGCGGCGGGAAACACCATTGCCTAATTGGTCTCCATTTTACAAAGCTCTCGTAGCGCTACGAGTATCGTAAGTCAATGTTACAGTATAGGAGGTAGGAATGCTACGAGGAAAGTTACGAGATCTTAGGCTTACGAGAGCTTGGTGAAACGGGGCCCTGGTGTGTTTTATTGTTTCGCTAGTCTTGTTTCTTGGGACCTGCTCACACTGTTAACATGAAATTCTCAGTGTGTTAAGTTCAAAGAGAAACTTAGCTGTTGTACCCAAACCCTCGTGTCCCTTTAATGCTTTGAATTTGAGCGTGTGGTAAATAGTGGTAACTAGGTCCATTATAAACAGCTGTATTAAAGTGAAATAAACTATCAAATAGTCGCCGGAAACAAAAGTCTCTGTATCCAACTAAATTTGTGAATGTTCGAAAATAATCTTGACCAATCGGGATATATATAGACATGGCGTCATCTGTTGGTGTTATGTACGAGTGCCTCTCAAGGACACCCAGGGCACGTTCTGGTTAAGGTATTTGCTGTCAATCAGATGTCCGTTTGTTCGAGCAAGTCCAGGATTTTCCTCCAACAACAAGGAAAGCAGATGAAAGGGAGATCGGGGGGTCTGATTTGCAAGAAGAATGACAGGTCCGTGTCACTACCGTCAATATTGACACAAACCTTCCGATGTACATGCATACATACTTTCATGTTGGAGGGGCAATGGCGGACAGATGGGGAGGAGGGGGTGAAGGGGGAGCGAAGTTCTCTCTAGTGTTTGCTGCCCTCAAGTACTCAATTAACCTTTTCCTGTTTATGCACATATCAGTCGCTGTTAACAAAGGTATGTCCTTCGTCCCCACCTGAGGTACCTGTTAACTTCGTATGTGATTGTATCAAGGTCAGTGAAGAGAAAAATGCAAAAAGTGCTACATTCATGTTGAATACAAAATAATTATGTTTTATTTGTATTACTGTGTATTCCCTGAGTTATAAGCTTACATTTAGTTGAAGATCAATTCTAAGGGAACGTTCAAAATATATGTCAGTGTGTGTGTGTGTGTGTGTGTGTGTGTTTGATGATGATTTTATAGAGAAGCATGTATGTACAATATGAATGCCCCCGAAATATAAATAATAATAATAAAATAAACCCCTCCAAAATACCAAATCCATAAACCAACAAAATACAACTTATGTACAAAGTAAGTGACCCCGTGCATGTCATGTACACAGTTGCCGAGTACATGAAGCCTAGTACATGTGTACAACATAGGTGACACTACCACCCCACCCCCACCCCACCACCCGCTTTAAACACCCCACACTGCACCCTAGCCATAAATTATGAACGGTCTCCAACCCTGATCTTAGGGCGTAGTATTACTTGTAACCTGCCCATGAACTACATTTCATAATACACACACACACACACACAGAAGGTTATACCGTGATGTCTTTAAATTGCTTTGCAATGAATACATGTTGTACGTCACAATTCCATATACCGTATCATGATATAACGAAAACATAAGTACATGTGTATGCTCACATATGCTCCACGAGATCTGTAACCTTGACTGTGACCATCAGCGAACCTGTTAATACTCCAGTCACGAGCACCAAAATACCCGCACGTTTTATGACATCTTTGTAGCTGCGTTCTTTGACACACATCAAAGACTGGCTTGTTTGTCTCAAGCTAGTCAATGTGTCGCCTATTGTGCGATGGCATAATGCCTTCAAACATTATATCTCACGGGCTTTAAGCTATTCATCCGTTACCACACTTTTAAATATGAAAGGCTGTGAACACAAAGACGAACGCAATCCTTGGATAATTAAATTAGCATGTTAACAGGTATTATCTGTCGTAGCATTGAAGTGCAAGTAGAAAACAAATACAACCCTTTGTTGCGTCAGTGGTTAATTATCGAGCTTAGCTGATTTTATGGAGTTACCTGCTTAGAAACCGGAAACCGTACAATTGACTGAATACACCGTATTTGAAGATGTAACTGTATATATTCCATGTGGCGCTATAGAGATCGGACAGGAATGTGTGAGAGAAGCGGGTGGGCTTGCCGAAATATTTCACAATAACAAATTTCACCTCTCGGTGAAAAAAATGACGTTCGAAGTAATTCCCTCTTTTCACTTGTGTTTTCGTGATTCCCTTTTCTTTTTGTCCCCGATGTATCTGAATACGTACCTTCTGACAATCAGACAATTTCACACTGTAGCCATATATTAGTTTCTCATAATTGTTATCATAGTGTCTTGAAGTCTGACTGAGTTAGTTTGAAGTCAAGAACAATTCTTAAATAAAATGTGTCATATTTAAGAGCTGTAAATAATGTAATTGTAGCCAGCAAACTGCGATAGATTAAAGACTCACGCAGAATTCATTTACGATCTGTTGTTGTCGTCTTCTGCATGCCAAAGAAACGAAAATCTGATCGTGGTAAACACGCGCTGAACGATCTATAATTGTGCTCGTGAATACTTTCTCCATGTGGTGACAAGAAGGTGTTTCCTTTCAGCTCACAATGCTCATTTCCAACATTCACCCTAACTTTTAATATAAAATTCTCCCAACAGACACATGCAGGATATATGCATTATCAGCATATTGTGGCGTTTAGTAAGCAATAGTTTATGCAGGGTGACATCTACGGTCATGGAGTTAATGAGATAAGATAAGATAAGATAAACTTTATTGTCCCGCAAGGGAAATTTGTCTTGCATTCAAAGAGCCAATACAAAGCATATAGCAACAAATAATTCAAAGTATATATGTACACAATGTTAAGCTAATCACAATAATATAATATGGATTATATTCAAAGTACATAACATAATAATCACTCGTGCCACATCATTGATTGCACTATTACAATTTTGGATGAAGATTTAGAAGTTTTACGCTGTATTGGACAATTATTTTGAAGTTCTATTAGTTTTGTAATACATGATTTTGAAACGGCGGCCAGAAGGCAGAAATTCATAACATTCATTTTAAAAGTGTGATGGACCCGATTGAATGGCCAGAACATTCTTCTTAGTGCTATGGATCCGATTGAATGGCCAGAAATTTCTTTTAACTTTGGACTCATACTGAAAAGGAAGTGGTTCGAAATTGAAGACGCAAATTTTGCTGGATATGCTTACAATTTTGTCAAGTTTGTTTTTCTGTGTTAGAGGAAGGTTGCCATACCATGCATGAAAGCAGAAAGTTAAAATACTATTGATGAATGTTTGGTAGAATAGTGTCTGGGTTAATGACGTGACATGTGGAAGGAATGTTGATCCCCATACCAGCAAACCCTCTTTGATAAGCGTAACCTTAAATTTCAATCTGCTATATCTCTCTGATGCATCAATTAACTGATTTCACTGTAGAGTATGTGATTCTGCCAATCGGAATATGTTGTTTTTTCACACGCCATTTACAACTGACACGACAGGCACTCTAAAAGTACGGCACTGTCAGGCATTTTTTATCTTTTCGCATTCCGCATGTCACTTATTGTGTACTCAGTCGACCTCCTGCCGAGTATTGAGTTTGCAAATTTTGTAACCTACCTCAAACACACATTAAAAATATCAAACATAAATCATCCCTCCCTACCCAAATATTGAGAAACCAGATTTTGCTTTAAAGTGTCCAATTTATATTCCAATATAAAGAAGATAGTCATTGCAGGCACCCACTGTAGGATCTTTTTGGGGTCGAGTGTGAAAAAGTGTACCCCTTGTGAAGCCTTGATAATGTAGGGTTAATCCCAAAAGAAGAATAGACTACAGACACTCATTGATATTCTAACACGAACGTGAAAACAGTGCACGCGACTCACGAAGGTATGCAACACACGCACGGAACACGTTCTACAAGACAACTTAGTGCACATACCTCCGGAACTCAAACAAAGCATGAGATAGCTCACCGCGAGGTAGTGCTGAATGAGGTCCGCGTGTTTAAACACTGACAGGTGTGTCTTCCCGAGTAAGGAAAGACACACAGAAGAGGCTGTGTATTTGACGTACTGGTTCATATGCTAAAACAATGACGTTTCAGGTTGGTGTGGACAAGTACGTATTTTGGGAGATAGTGAGTCAGTGAGTTTATTTTTACGCCGCACTCAGCTATATTTCAGCTTTATGGTGGTGTTCTGTAAATAATTGAGACTGGGCCAGTCAATCCAGTGATCAACAACATGAGCATCGATCTACGCAACTGGGATACGATGACATGTGTCAACCAAGTCAGCGAGCCTGACCACCTGTTCCCGTTAGTCGCCTCTTACGACAAGCATGATTACTGAAGATCAATTCTAACCCGGATCTTCAAGAGTGTGAGAGTCATGAATTTACAGGACTAGAAAGATATGTATCCATGTGTGTGGTGGAATGTGTCTTACGGCTTATCGGGATATTTACACGTATACTTGTAAGTCGGTAATATATTTCTTTTCGTACCTTATGTGATATCTGATTCTACTTGTATAACAACAATTGACAGCATTATCTCTTACGGAATTGTGACCAGTTCCTATAGATGTTTTGGTAAAGCGAAACAAGTTTCGGGCGTGTGTATCAAATCCTCAATACGAACTGATTTATATCTTACCACGCACAGTAGAAATGTATTGCCTGTTGCTGCAAGTGGCTCCAAGAATCGAATCAACGTTTCATGTCTTATGTCAATATTAAAATTACAAAATATCACTTTTCCCCGTATGTACTCAGTGGACTTCATATTTTGTCCCGCTACCCAGATGTTCCCTGTCCCCGTGTATTCACAGGGATATCCTGGGGTCAGTGGAGCTGGGAGAAGTGCTGCGCCAGTATGGCCACAACAATCAGGAACGACAACAACACGGCTTTTTGTTAAACGGTGGTTATACTTGACACCGGATGTAGGGTTAACATAGAGGCGAGCAATGCTATACGATGTACAACTAATTACAGTGACACTGGCGTGACCTCTTTTTTGTTTCCCCTTAACTTTTACCTTTATGGAAAGTAGAAATATGGAACACTCAATTAAGTACCCAAAGAAATTATGTTGCAAAATTAACTGTACCAGCAAAGTAAACACATTACATGGGAGAACTTCACAACGTACAACTAAAAGTTCACGTAAAAGTCAGCAAATCTTGCTGGTAGGCGCTTCCCTCGTGACGGACGTCTGGGAGAGTGATCATCAGTGTGGTTACTCGTTGGCTATCTGGGGTACAGACAGCTGGTCAGGGTCATCGTTGGCTATCTGGGGTACAGACAGCTGGTCAGGGGTCTCAGGCAGGGCTATCTGGGGTACAGACAGCTGGTCAGGGTCACCGTTGGCTATCTGGGGTACAGACAGCTGGTCAGGGTCATCGTTGGCTATCTGGGGTACAGACAGCTGGTCAGGATCACCGTTGGCTATCTGGGGTACAGACAGCTGGTCAGGGTCATCGTTGGCTATCTGGGGTACAGACAGCTGGTCAGGGTCACCGTTGGCTATATGGGGTACAGACAGCTGGTCAGGGTCATCGTTGGCTATCTGGGGTACAGACAGCTGGTCAGGGGTTTCAGGCAGGGTTTTCTCAGGAGACTGGTGTTCAGGCATATCTGGATGTTGATGTGCTGTTTCTGGTGAATGAATCTCACTTGGGACTTCTGGTAGAACTAGTGTAGGGTATACAGTGGTAACTGGACCATCATTTGAGTCATTGTCAGTGCAGTTTTGGGGGTAAGTTGGCAACTTCAGACCTTGATCGTCAACTTTGTAGCAATCGGACAGCTTCATCCAATACGACGTACTTCTGAGCTGGTTGCCTGTGAATTTTCCAATGTTGCACCATGGATCATCAATCGAAACAACTAGGTAGCGTTTCCTGGCGTTGAGTTTGGACCCGTCATCAAAGAACTTGGAGTGTTCCTTATGCGGGTGGTTGCGAAGACGCTGTTGATGCTGCTTTGTCACAAGATCTCTGTCAGACACTGGTAACTGCGCATTGGAGAATTGATCCCTTTGTGTCAACATTTCTCTTGAGGACATCCCTCGGGATCTTATGCGGGTGTTGAGTCTAGCGACAGCAAACGAGAGTGTCAGAGGGGTGCACGTACCGCCTAAGGGATCCTGGCATAAGAGTTCCTGTTCAAGCTCCTGTATGACCCTCTCTGCCACAGGGTTCTTGCTAACGTTATTGGATCTTCCAACCTCTACAGCTAATCTGTGGCGCC